CATCTGCCGCCGCCATCTTGGATTTTTTTGGTAAAGCTGCAATTTGGCCCAAACCGCTAGAGGGGGCGAATTAAAATGTTTAATATATTCGGTCTGAAGTTTTAGTAGCTCTAGCATTAGAGGAGAAGTTTGATAATGCATAGAACGGATAAAATAGAATAAAATTAAATGAAATAAAATAAAACAGAATAAAAAATAAAATGAAAATAAATAAAAAATAAATAAAAATAAAAAAAATAAAATAAAATGAAAATTATTGTAGTGGTTACATATACTTAACGTTATATTGTATTTAGCAATGATCATTTAGCAAAAAAAATTCGGTACTGAAACTCCGGTATTCAGAATCAGGTACAGGTACAGGTCCGGACCTGGACCTGATCCTCTGGACCTGGAAGAGCCGAACAGGTACCCACCCCTATTGCTAGTGGTGTAATATGGCTGTAATGTCGACACTGTTTGTTGAGTACTAGTACAGTATATTTATATTCCTAATCAAAAGTAACAGTGAAAGATTTGCCCATACATTGGTATTGAAATAAAGAGCACATTTTAGTACCGTTCACCTGTCAATTTGGTCATTTTCCGGGGGGTACGTTTATTCCGGAGGGTATGTATATTAGACTTTGAAGATTTGTCCGGGGGGTATGTTTATTCCGGGGGGTATGTTTATTAGGGACATGAGAGTAGTATGCATTAAATGTTATAAAGATTTGGTAATAACTGCTGCAATTGCACCAATAAACCAAGTTTAAAAAATTACGTTTTAATATTACCTTGAGACATCTGAATAAGTCAAGACGAAGGTTATGGAAGTGCACTATATTCCTCGGTCGCAAGATGTCGCTTTTGATTAGTGGCCTGAATGGAATTTCCCATATCGAAGATCCCGGATGTAACGCATGAGGCTGCTTAGGTATTTACTTAGCAAAAATAGCAAAATATCAGGAATTATAAGGGTATTAGGCATAGAGCCATAGGATAAAAATGGAGCTAAAGATACTACGGGCAAGGGCAATCAATTACATTGTGTTTTATTCGTGCTGTTGAACAGATTTAAACAGAGTTACGTTATCGCCCCCCCCCCCCCGCCGAAAATTTATGAATTCGTACAACCTAACAATATGTTAGTGCATTAAGCTTGATAACGTTTGACAGCTCTGTTATTGTAGCCACTCCATTTTGTGTTGTCTCATGAAGTTATACCAAAATAAAACATTTCACTTTTGACACATGCATCTTTGCTCTTTATTCATCAGTATTGTCCAGACATTACAATTTCAATGAAACATACAGATGAAACATAGTTCCTCTGTAATATACAACATGACACTACTGATTCCAAAAAATGTCTTCCCCATACATAGAGCTGTGTAACCTACTCTAACAGAGAAATTAGCTCCACATACATATCCTAAAACTCTTTCCTGTCTCTCAAATCTTCAATCACAAATGAAAATCTGTATCTCTACCTAAACATTTTCCCTCCCAACATCTGCTTCGAGATTAATATTTTTCACTAATTCCATTGAAGCAAATGATAATGGAAGCCAATTTATTACCCTGTTTGGTGTTACAGGTATGAACATACTAGGTAATACATTCTTTCCTCTCTAGCAGTTACACAAATCTATGTGGACATCCTCAAAGAACACAAAACTACATGGCCAGCGGCCGAGATAAACTTTTTTCAAAAGTCTTGTTTTTTTAGCATTTGTATGCATGTGTGTGACTTACCATGATAACTCAGACACTTTAGATGGATTGTCATGAAACTTGGTAGGTGGTTAGGTCTTGATGAGACATGAAATGTACTAGTAGATATGAGGTTTTATTTCATTCAAAGAAGAAACAACAACACAACGATAGTCTGTAACTTTTATTCTTCACTTTATATATTACAACATCAAGTAGATTTTACTCCTTAAATGCAACTGATGACTATGTGAAAATACTAATTTTCCAGAAGTAGTAGTATCCAGGAGTAGAACCTTACTGGATTTTTTTTCTTCAGTATATTAGGTCATAACAATAGCAACATTTAGAATACATGTACATGTATTTTTGGTCAATCCATTTTAGAAGATTCACGTATCATAATAATACTAAAGTCACTCCAGATCCTGTAAGTTGATGGTGCTTTCAGTGAACTGGTTGACTCCGCTTGCTGAGGTCACCGCAGGCTCGAGGTGGAAAGCTTCGGTGGCGTCTACGTCCATGGTTTCCTCAAGATCGGTGTCCGGGTGGGAGGGGGGTTCTTGGAGGATGTTGACGGGGAGGTCAGGGGGGATGGGGGTCTGTGAGTTGTGGGGCGGCAGCTGGAGGTTGTCAGGGTTGAAGGTCATGTCAGCATCTCCTGGGGGGTCATCCTGGAAGAGAGGGAGAGAAGAGAAGTAAACGTTATAGCCAGCGTTTGTATTTCTGTCATTTCATGGAATTTTGCTACTCATGGGAGACAAAATTTTGCCCAATTTGTCATCTTTGACAGACAAAAATAGGTGTTTTTTTACTTTAAAAATATCTACCAGCCAGCAAAATTTGCCCCTCCAAAATGCTGGAAATAGCGTTTTAGAGGGTCTAGATTTGGAAATTTTGCAGGTCAAAAACAAGCTGCTAGGAGACTATACAACTTCTTGGCCCTAAAACCTAACTGCCACTCCAAAATCAACACCAAAGCATAACTAGAGTAGAAGGTACAAAAACTGCAGTACCAAGCAGCACCACTAGGAGGTGCACATTACCTGTAGGAGCTGAGTCTGCACATAGTGGGAGCCGGTGTTGGGGTCCCTCAGCGTGATGGCGCTGGAGGTCATGATGAGGTCACCGGCGCTGAACGACCGCGAGGACGTGATGACCACGTCTCCGGGGCTGAACGGCGCGATGTCAGAATTTGACGGCGACAGGCTGTGATCTCTGCCATCCCCATCCTTATCTATGTCTGTAAAATGTGCAAGTTAGAAATTAGCAAAGAACAATGTTGAAAGTTGACGCGGGTATCACTTATTGTGGTCACCTTTGCAGAAGGAAAACTATTGCTTATAACCAGCACATCAGCATACCGCGCCTGAGTGAATCCCAGATTTTCCATCATCTTCATTGGATGTTTTGTCAATAGAATTTTGCCCATTGCAGACACTGCATTTTTTGACATGGCGTTTGAAAACTATAGATGAGATGACATCCTTAAATACAATAATACAACCTTAATCAAGACGTTCTGCTAAAGAGCTAGGCACGACACATTATGGGTTTCACTCAGGCACAGTCGCCCTGCCAACGTGCTCTTACAACCAAGCGACTTGAGCCGTACCTGTGAAACTGTCCATGCTGAGTGACCGGTTCAGCGTGATAGCCGCCTGGCGGTTTCTCTTGGACCGGAAGCGGAAGTCAGTCCTGGCCGAACCCGAGCGGTTCTCCTGGAAGATGGACGCTGCGTCCAAATCGCTGGTGGGCGTGATGGGGATAGGATCCTGCTCCTGCAGATAAACCAGAGAAAGTATTAGATTAGTATTAAAGAAGCTTTGAATTCGATACTCAAATTGGGCTTGCATTGCAATGTGTAATGCAGGTACTGTAAATCTTCAAATGTCTGCGGTTATTTCATTTTTGAAGTGCTGCAAAATCATGACTCCATTAGTACACCAATGTATTACTACTGTACTAAAGAACTGTTTAAAAATAATTAAATCCCAGTAAAAATAAGTGAATCTATAGTAGGTTCTTTCACAAATACAAATTCAGCTAGCCTTTTGCAGATTAATTTTGGCCTGCCGCCCATCCCAGGGTCAGAGACCCCTGCAGCAGTATACTGAAAGACTGGATATTACATGTACTACTAATACTTCCACCCATACCTGTGTAGTTGCTACGCCAGTAAACGTGTGTGGCGGGCTGCTAAGACTGCTGTTGACGACAAACTGTGTGACGACGTTACTGCCCATGTGCTGGGACATGATCTCTGTAGGGAAGCTGGTGGTGATGTGGTCATCCACCGTACTGGTCACCATCAGGTCAGAGACACGCTGCTCCTGACCCTCAAAACTCATGTCCGAGGCTTTAGCCACTCCTGTAGGGAGGAGAAAGCATAGAAAGAAATGTAGACTTCACTCCACAAAGGGGGTCTAAAATAAACATCTTTTCAATGGGGAAGTAATTTTGTTCCTTCTTTTTTTACGGTGGGTTTTCCTATTGTTGTCTGTTCTACTGAATCAGTTCTTTTTAACCACGAAGTTCACAAAATAAAGTCTCAGTGAAAATAGTTTAATTTATAGTATTCTACCACCTACCAGGCTGAGTGACAGATGAGAAGGAGTCAGCTGCCGTGACTGGGAACGTGTCCACCGCCGAGGCCAGGGGGAGGCTGGACACAGAGGCAGAGGCTGTGACGGGGGTTTCCAGACCCAGGGTGTTCAGGGAGGCTGCTGCTGCCATCAGGTCAACCCCCTGCAGATCCTCCTGGGTAAAACCTGAGAAAAAACAAATATCAAGAATAGTCAATACTTCATTACAAACGTCAAATGATCCACATAGCTTCTTTGACCCTTTTATAATTCATATGTACATCTCACAGGCATGGACACTCTCTATACTGGAGAAAACACTATCTTCCCAGGTCTAAGACAATCCTGAGTACCTGGAAGATGAATCTTGAGGATGTGTGAGTTGAGGCTGCTCTTGTTGCGATACGTCTTGTCGCAGCCATCAACAGGACAGTTGTACACTGTGGGAGGTTTCGGCTCCAGGCCCTCGTTGTGCTTTTTCGTGTGGACGTAGAGACTGCTTCGCGCCGAGAAACTTGCATCACAATCTAAGTAAATGGAAAATATCATAAGCAGAATTCTTCAAGTTGACAAAGCCAAAAAAAAGATTCAAGTGAGTTTACTTCTTGACAGTCACAGATTTTACATTAAGAAAAGCATTCTGACAAAAGACAAACAGATAATACGTCCACAATACGAATGGGGGCTGGTGATTGGTCCACAATAGGAATCATGGAGGCTGGTGGTTGGTTCACAATAGGAATGGAGGCTGGTGATTGGTTCACATTGATAACACAATGATATTTACCTGGGAAGCTGCACTTGTAGGGCCTGTCGCCGCTGTGCGTGATCATGTGACCTTTGAGATGCTCGGAACGGGTGAAACACTTGCCACACCCTTCCTCGGGACACATGAACTTACGGTCGCCCGTGTGTTTACTCATGTGTCTCTTCAGTTTGGATACACAGACGAACGACCAGCCACAGCCCTATAAGAAAACAAAATTTAAAGTGTAAAGCAACAAACTTCTTCAATTCAGTTCTTTTTGAATATTGTTAAATGAATTAGTTACCCTATTACATTATGAGTATGTTTGTGTATTTAAGGATGACATCCCGTCTATAGTTTAACTTTTGAAATGTTGTGTCAGAGAAGATATCGTCCATTCTGACGTAACATTGACCAAACATGCAACAAAAGCTATGAAAATCCTGTGTTTTGCACAGGCACAGAACATTTTCCCAACGTGCTGTCTTGACTGTAGTTTCAATCATAAATGTCTGCTCCACTATTTTCCTGCAAAAAAATCTGACATCGAAAAATTGATATGAAATAGCCCAATGCTTACCTCTACACTACACACAAACGGTCTCTCGCCTGTGTGGCTCCTCATGTGCAGTTTCAGACGACAGGCCTTGTCAAACTTCTTGTTGCAGCCCTCGAACGAGCACGTGAATTCTGTCTCCTCCTTCTCATGGATCCGGTGGTGTGATCCGAAGGAACTCGCTGTCACAAACGTCTTACCGCAACCCGGGAAGTCACACCTGTGGGGATGGAAGGAAGGAAAGAAACTATGAAGGACTGACAATAATAGACTCTACCAGCCAGGCTTCAGTCAGAGGTGGGTGGAAAGATAAGAAATTGGCCAAATAGACAGATAACATGCCAAGGGAGTCAAATGTAGCCCACTGAAGGTGTTGGGAATTCTAATGTGTGTTATTACTATGACTACTAAGGCCCTACCTGAAGGGTCGATCAGGCGGGATATGTTTCCTCATGTGCATCTGCAACTTGTACTTGGACTTGAAAGTCTGCCCACAGTTCTCGTACGTACAAACTTCCACGTTCTGGTTGTAATGTCCTTTCATGTGATGGTTCAGGTTGTATATGGTCGTAAAGCGCTTCCCGCAATCCGCCAGCTCACACTTATATAGTTTGCTCCCGTCGTGGGACTGTTCGTGCCGTTTTAGCTTGTACGCCGTTGTAAAGGCCCAGAGGCAGCCTTCATACGAACACTTGTACGGACGTTCGCCCGTGTGCGAGAGCATGTGCAGTCTGAACTTGGCCTTTTTACTGCAGATTTTTCCACACCCCTGTTCAGGGCAGATGTAAACTTGCGTCGGTGACTCTTCTTTGCTCGCATCTAAAGTCGTGCCACCTGCGTACGAGTTGTCGATTGTGTACATGTCTTTTGTGCTTTTGTTTTTACCATTATTAGTAGAATTGTCGTCAGTTTCGGTAGTGTTCGATAAATCTAGTGGTGTGGAACTGTTTCCCGAAGTCACAGACAACCCGGACGGACCAGCGTTCAGTATGATCGAGGACGTCCCGCTGTTTTGGAGGATTATCGACGTCGGCTGCACCGAGACGTTAACATCCCCGAGAGAGATCCCTGAGTTGGACGACCCAGTGAGAAGAGCCCCGCTCACGTCCGTGGTTGGAAGAATGAGGTTTCCTTCGCTGTCGACTTTTAGGATGTGGTTCACCTGGTTTGATGACACGACACTGGTAAAAACAACGTCAGAGCCGGGCGTGCCAGAAGTCGCCGCAACATTTCGCACGCCTTGCAGCATGCTGCCATCTGGTCGTGCAGTCACCAGTAATCTATTGTCTGTTGGATTAAAGTTTATGATGCCCTCATTTTGGATGGCATCCGCTCTACCTCTTTCTTCCGACTCCTTGGGGCCGACAGACTCCTCAAACTCGAGGCCGTGTTCGGGCATACGCTCGAGCTCTTGCGGAGTCATGAGGGTCGTGCTGTTGACATTGCTGCTCGCTTGGAAGTCAAGTTCGTGTATCTGGATGCCGGCTTGCTGCGTGCTTTCTTCGAGGAGCTCTTTCTCCTCGGCACTGAGCTGCGAACCTCTCTCCAGTTCCTCAAGACACGCTCTGTCCTGGGAGCTGAGTTGGCTGGCACCGCCTTCTTGTGTTGAGGCGTTTTGTTCAGGAACTTGGCCTCCCTCTTCCCGTGAACCTTGACCTACTTCTGTCCTGGCAGGGTGGGAGGGGGGCGGGTTAGTGTTAGGTAGGGCTAGAGCCACGGTTTGTCCGCCATCTACCTCGTACCCTGTAGCGACCTGCTGCCGCGCCCCCTCCCAGTTTCCCCCGCCCCCCTCCCCTTTCCCGTCGACTTCGTGGAGCATACCGAGGGGAATGATGACAAAAACCTGTCCTGTGGAGTCCTCCCCGCCATTTCCGCTCCCACGGCCGCCATCTTGTCGTCCCGCCACTATAACCTGCTCCTCCTGAGTTCCCTTTCCTTCCGCTACGTGCAGGATGACGGAATTATTCCCTTCAGTCGCCGAAATCTCGGAGACGATCCCTGCTTGGGTGTAGGTCAGCGTTTGGGACGATCCTTGGGGGTCTGTCTCGGAGGCCTCGGCCGCCACATAAACGTATTGCGTAGCCCCGCCATCTTGACTCGAGCCGGCGGCAACTTCCAGTGAAGCTGTCGTCCTTTTCTGAGTCAACTCTGAGGGAAAATCTCCCTCCCGACCGCCGTTTTGTTCCGTAGGGGTGTGCAGCCCGCGGAGGCCGCCATGTTGCCCGGCGGAGGGCTGGACTGTTGTCGGGTGCCCCTGCCATTCCATGTCCGCTAGCCCCGTACACCTTAGCCCTGATCGTGCAACATTCGCCCAGGCTGCAGGGACGCGTTCCTGTCGTGCGGTGGCGCTGCTGTCACCGACAATGGCAGAACGCTGAGACTAGCGGCCAAGTAGAATACTGCAGCTGTGTCCGTGACCGTCACCTTATGGCAGTCAATCAAATTAATCTGAACACAAATCTCCCAATGTTTAGATGACAGCATTTCTTTGTTTGTAAACTGTGTAACTTTTGCATAACATTAACAGTCAGTGAAAAGAGGAAATAGTAGACTGAAACTTTGTTGTTTATAAAGGTCTGGTCTGAAGAAGTATTACAGTATCACAAACAAGAAGTTGGGATTCTAAGACTTTCAAGTCCACGGACCTCTGCAAAGTGTTTTCATAAATATATTGCAAAGGTGGAGGTAACTGTATAATGTATATACATATATCATTGATTTATTACAATGCTTCCTGAAGTCCCCCACTTACCACCCAATTTACTTCCATCTGAAACGTGCTTGGTCAGACACCCTTACCGATCAACTGTCAAAATCACCTCCCACCCACCACAACGCTACTAGTATTAGGGTAAGCAGAGACATGAATACACAGCTCATCCATGCAAAACAATACGACCATACCAAGAAGTAAAAATCACACAAAAACAATAGCTACTCTGCAGAGTTTATTGTATAGAGAACTTGAATCAACAAAGACTCCTTTTGTATAATACATCTCTTGTTCTCATGTACACCAAGGGCATAGGTTACCACTAACGACACTTTATTATCATTACAGTCTTGTTATTAAGCCATACAATGGAAAAAAAAAGGAAGAAAAACTCAATGTTATCAAAGCTCTAGGTTCTAACATATGATTCAGTACCCTACTACTACGATACGCTTCACTCAGCAATCAACTACTACATGTAGCTGCAAGGGACACAAAAATGTCTACCTAGTAGACAAGAATCAACTGACAACATAAGAATAACAGATATACACTACGTAAACAAAAAGCTTACAGTGATGCCGTTATGGGTTTACCATTAGTCAATACTTCTAAGGAAGTTAAATAGACAAAACACAAGTGTGCTGTTTGTTTGTCAGTTTGTCATTCTGGGGATATTTTGTATTGGACGTCAACAGAACCTTATTTTCTGTGGTCCAAGAATCTTTTCCTGTTGCAAAACAAAAGTTCATAAAGTTTTTTAGTACTGTGACTACCAGACCTACAGTTATGCAAATGGCTAAGAAATTTCCTAAGAAGCTGCAAGAATGTTGGAGTTTGATGTGTAGATCTTATAGCAGTCTTAGAGTTTTCATAGGTTTGGTTTCTTGTATAAAAAAAGATCACAGTTAAACTTTTACTCTTTGCTGGTTTGTATTTTACTCCACTCTTCAGGTATATATTCTATTTCTCTTAACTTCAGACAAGAGTGCATGTGCACATTGTGCAGTGCACAAAACTGACTTGAGTCTTTCTGAAAGAAGCATTGCAATTACACAAGAATTTGACCTCATGAAAAATTACTATGTTTCAAAATCTGTTGATATATATCATAAGACTTCAATAAGATCTAGTCACAAAAAGATGCATTGTAGTTGTGATGGAATGCAAAATAAGACAAGAATGTTAATATAGGTTTAAGTAGAGAAAAAGCCTGACAAAAGGTTTAAATGGAGCACCAGCTAGCCAATCACTTGACTTGATACATCATACAGCTCTACATACAAAGTGCATTAGTTATCTTCAATCCTATTGGCTGATTTCAAGCCACTCTTGGTGTGATTTCCAGTGTCTTCACTGAATAACAGATATGACAGTCAAATTTGGACATGTTTTTGAATGTGTTGTATTTTTATCTTACAATTCTACCACCAAAAAGTCTATGTTCATTAAAACAATACAATTCAGTTTGATACACAAATTTTTATCTTTCAAGTGACAACTCAACGTTTTTCTTTTAACTCAGGACGTGGCCAAAGAAATTTCCTTTGAAACATACAAACAACTACAGAGGAACACACAACTGACACCAATGCAATTAATCGATACACATACTAAGATCCAACAACAGAATTTAGAATAATATTCTATACATTCAACGTTTTCCCCACCACTTATTCTGTCTCTAATGAAAGAGTTGTTGATTTTGTCGTCTAACTGAACAGAAGTGAGACCAAAGTCTATTGACATGAAGCATACAAAAAAGTTTACATCTACATTTGTATCTACAAAGATGCTTGACTTTTACAAAAACAAGACGGCCCAAGACGAAATCATTTCTCAAACTGTAAAGGAATACTTCAAGCACTAGGATCCTGACAAAAAGACATCGCCTGGCAGAAGATACAATGTCTGATAGTTCTGTAAGACTTGCATTGCGAAGAAGAATTATCTGCAAATGATAGAATTACTTCAAGCAGATGTGTACAGTGTTTTCAGGGGATTAGCAATGTGTTGTGTGTCTGTTTCCCTCTATGGAATTACAACAGCTAAGAGTTTTACAGGGACTACGCTTGGAGACAGGAGAAAGTCTACGCCACGTCTACGTTTCCTCGGTGCGTCTACGTTTCCTGAGGTCTTCGTCCTCTTGGTCCGTGGTCTGAGGCTTCTCGACGTTGTTGTCCCCGCTGGCCGTCGCCTGTTCTTGTTGTTGTTGTTGTTCTACTTCCTCCTCGTCCACTTCCATGATGTCGATTTCCTCGTCTTCGGGGAGGGGGCGCACGTTCTGCTTCTGCACATAGAACAGGATGTAGGCCTGTCCGGCAACCACGTCCTCGATGGAGCTCAGGTCCAGGCGAGAGTCGTTAAAGTGCACCCAGAAACCTGGAGGGACAGGGATAAACTTACTAAGTCAGTTACTAATTTTCACATGAGTGAGAAAATTTGCTTCTGAGTTATACCACTTTCCTTTTCCTTTTGTGGCTCTACTGTATTCAAACAGCTACAGACACACATGCCCGTAAATGTAAACAAAGTCTAATTTTGCATGAGAGTGCAACAAAAACTGCACCCAAATACAGCACAGATTTGAAGGAACGGACATCCTTACCAGCCTCATCGTTCCAACAGTAGGCTGTGTAGTGTCCTGACCCGAAGCCTCGCCCATGGTGGATCACCACCGCCTGTAAACAGTACATCGTGTCCACCATGCTGCCGTCAGGAACATAACAGTACGGGGCGATGTCTAACTCCTCTCCGAAGTCCACGTGAACGTTGATCTTCTCACGATGGTTCCGCCCGGACCATCTGTCAGGACATTTTGGTTCGTACATATTATTATAGACCTTTAATGACCACCGTTGCATGCTGGGAGATGCAGGGCATTGTGGGTAGCCCAGGTGGCAAACAATATTGTTACAATTACAAACTGCTATGAACTGAAAACAGTTGCTTGTTTGTATGGTAGGCTGGTTCAAGTATTTATGGGGAGGTACCCAAAAAATAAAGAGACACCTCACATAGCTAGTTTTGGGGCTATTTCAATAAAATAATGATAGAAATATGCTTAGAAATGGCAGATGATTTCCTCATCCAAAATGCCCCCGTCTTACCTGAACCTCTTGAGGTGGAGCCTGAGGATCTGAGGTAGCTTGGTGATCAGCAGCTGTTTGGAGGCTTCTGTCTTCACCGGCGGCTTCTTGGAGGAAGCACGGCGCCGACTGGAATAAGAAACATGGATTCTATACTACAAGTGTCAAGCTTATTGTGGATCTAAATAAAGTCAAAGTATAGATGTAGCTTTATCTCTTCGGTTAAAGAAGTTGAATCCCTTCTAAAGTGGCATTACGTGGCATACCGGTAATGGTCAGAGTGTTCAGTCCCAGGTTTGATACCCAGTCATGCCTGATGTTGTGCCCTTGGGAAAGGGACATCACATGACTTCCCTCCCTGTACTGTGTCTAAATACTAAATACTGATGAGGACACAGAAGGATTTGGTGTCACCAATGAGCCAAGATCTCCACATTTGCCCGTAAAAAAGTAAAAAAAAAATCCATTCTGAGTCTGACCTGTTGCACTGTGAGCACTCGTACACCTTCCCTTCCAGGTACTCCTTCTCTGTGAACTTGCCCATCATCTCCGTCAGCAGACAGCTGTCCTCCGATGGCGCGAACGGACGGTCCTTGGCACACTGGTATCTGGAAGACACCATAGGAGCTTGGTACCTACAGCCAGCATAGGGGGACAGAAAAGCCAGGCATGTCTAGATGCAAGCATTTAGGAAGAGAGCACAGTCTGACTAAATCATGTTTCTAGCGGCCCTTCCACTGGTCAGGCCTCTAGAAGCTTGATGACCAACACCTCTAAGTCAGAAGAATTGAGAACATCTCTATCCACCATGTTAACCTTCTTATTGTTGAAGTAGGTTTTTGAAAACCATATTCATTACAAGTGTTAGACAGCAGGGAGGAGGTGGTTAAGGAAGTTTACTGCCAAGCATTGCCTTCTAACATCAAAGGATAATATACGCATCAAGTTAGATAGTTTACGCAACAAGTTATAAAATGAGTAATATATACAAACTAAATAAATACAAACTTTTGCCTAAATCCTGAGTACTTTATTCTCACCTGTCGGGAAACTCCAGTGATAGATCCCAGAAGGGCTCGTAAGTGTTGGACTTGTACCCACAGACCAGACATGTCACCTGTACAAACACACAACAATGGGAAACTCAGGTCAAGTCTGGGCAGCCTGGAATTCACAAGTACCCTTACATGTTCCTCCTCAGTGCTCAAAATACTCAGTTGCATAGATTCATGTTACAGGGCAGATACTGCCAATCTTCAAATGTTTGTGGCAATTCTATTTTTGGCATGGTTTTCAATAAAGTCTGTAAGGTGAATATACCATCTCTACAACAATGATACATTTCCCTATCAATTTACTATGACGTAGAATTTAAAAAAATCAAAACACAGCAAAATCACCACAAAATAAATGCATCTACAGTATTCAGCATGAAGAAATGTAAAAAAATTTACTGAACCAAATATTTGACATACAACGGCCCAAGCTAGCTCCTTTTAGAAACAAACATTGTCCTGACATACATAGAGGGACACCAGGGAGTAGTGTTTATATCATGTGACAGCCTGGCAGACAGCCAACATGAGGTGGCCATGAATAGAGTTAATCCCCAGTGTTTGTACATGGGCATGACATCACTACAGCTCCTTTGCTTTGTCCTGGGTTGGAGGTTAAAATATTCACATATATCAAGGACAAGGACCTACACAGAACCTACAATGATCCTAAAAAATGTACACATTCTATGAACAAACACACAAAGTCTAAAGCCTGCACAATGATAACATTTAATTCATGGAAGAAATCAGCCCCCCTCCCATGTTTCATTTGAAATTTTCTGATAATTTTCCCTTTGTATTGAATATTTCCTGACAATCATAGTATTGAAAATCATGCTGACCACCCACCAATTTCTTGAGTGGTATAACCCTTCCCCTTGCTGTGTACTGCAAATGGCTATGCCATTGAAGAAAGTAGGGGACAATGGGACAATTTGGAATAATTTTGAAGAATTGATTTGGGACCATTTTCAAAGGCAATTCTATAGATTGAAAAAATATGCGCAAGTGTTCAAATTTATCCAAGTGACAAGCTGACTTGACAGATTGTTAGGGATAATGACAAGCAAACTTCATTTTCAACGAACTATTTGCATCTAGCAGCTCTACAAAAGAAATAATAATGTACACAGCATTGACAATTGAATTTTTAATATCTTTGAAAATGCAGATAAAATTAGCAAGACTGGTCTTAAGTAGATTAGCCTTGAACAATTCCTTTTGAAGGCCCTTTTATTATGGAAAAAATGTGGTCTATAAATAACCATTACTCCCAGACATAACAATAATGCAGGCCATTAGATAAAGAATTCCAAAAATTGCACACCAAAAGCTGCCTGCCTGAAAAACGTGCATGGCCAACCGTATCTTGGCCTTGGACTGTATTGATTGGGGCATGGTCCAAATGAGTCATTGTCACCCAGACCAGCACAAACAGGATATAAATATAGTTGGACAGAAGGAAACACAAAACACAATTTGTACTAGAAATTCAATACTATTGCCTTAGTTACAGTCAGTACTGTACTACATGTATAGCGATTTGTACGTTTACATTTATTTTTGTCAGGAGCTTGGGGCTATCCTTTACACATTTATCCATACAGGCTACATCCTACATAGGTCTTTGCAGGTGGGAGGGGGGCATGATTTTAAACATGGACCAACAAAGAGTTAGAAACAAACAAGTTGAAAAAACTGGAGCTTTAGCTTTAAGTTAACTTTAAGGGGAGGGGGCAGTGTAGACAATTGAGATTTCTTAGGCTCATATTTTAGGCTCATGGCTCATTGTTATATTCACCTTTCGTTTTCAACTATGCTTTGAAGTCGCATGATGAAATATGCCCCGGTGATATTGGTGACTGAGTCAGTAAACAACTGTGTGTGTGTACACAAGGTACAGCAACAACAAACAAAGCAATGGTCCAAACATTCAGAATTCAGTACAATCAGTACACTTTCTCATTGCTGAATCTTGCATCTTCTGCATTACAAATAGCTATTAATTTGGACAGAGGAGATAAAGAATGGCAAAAGCAAAACCAAGACAAAGGAGTTATTCACTAGCAGTGTTGACATACAGATAAAGCTCTATAGAGAAGTTGTTGCTTTATATACATGTAGGGCTTTGTATGTGAGCAGTTGTTCCAAATAGCATACAATCAACTTTACTGTAACATGTGATTGTCTATTTATCTACAGAGTGAGTGACTGTAAATCAAAGACAATGTATTGCTCTAAAACATTTCTCTAATTATAGTAATTTATACACTCAGTCAGACCCTGACACACAGGGTAAAATATTTCAGTTATCTCAGTTTTGTTTGGATCCGGCAAATGTTATGACTGCTAGGCTGATTTTTAGCACACGATAAATGACTATTATCCCTCGGGGGATACATAAGGCATTTCTTTATCTGATTATAGCGGATTAAAGAGATAAACCAATCTGTTTCCTGCTCAGAGGGTCAAAGGTTAGATTGAAAGTAGGCAGATTTTTATGATTACCTCCAATGGCTCTTCCAACTTTCAAAAAAATCTTTAAAATTCAGACCTAGAATGAAAAAAAATCCCTTGAAACAAAAATTTCCAGCATGTTATGGCCATAGATCAACAAAACTAATAAAATTAAACATCTTCCATTTTGACCACTTCGACTTTTTAATTTCAGAAATTCCAAGGTAACTTTATCACAATTTTATTCGTCCAAAACATTTTTATGAGAACTAGCTTCCTACATAACAATACAATGTTGTATCCTGTTCAAAGGTCAATCCTGTAAAGTCATGCAAATACCACTTCTGACACACGCTCACAAATGTACCAGCGTAAGTTGGATATCTGCTGCTACAGGTTGTGCACAAGGTGTAATTAAGTCGAAAGCAGGGGACAATAGGAAAGACTAAGGCTTTAGGACATGACGTAACTGCACACATACCAAACATTTCAGTGGTGCACGTGTGTGGAAAAATGTACACACTTCACGTTGGGCAGTAAAAACCTGAAGGCTTTGTTGGTAGGTGGTAATTTTGGAAGGAAATACATTGAGAATTAAGACTATTGTAGCATTACAATTTAGATTATCTACCTATATAGTACGTAAACTGTAATTCAGTATCTTACAATTTATTTAAAACACATAGAGGGAAGGATAAATATTCATTATAATTTCATATACATTTTGTATTGTAGCTGGCAGAGAATTTTTTTTAAATAGACTCTTTTCCAGACATTGTTTATACTTCAAAGTAACTAAGCTACACCTTTTCTCCAATTTTTGCCCCCCTCCCCAACTTCCTGAACAAGGGACTACCTGATAGATGTGACTATCACTGCTTTCTATATTGTACAATAAGCAAAATGTCTAAGAAGGAAAGAGATGAAATTCAGTAAAATGGGGATTTTACATGACTGCTACAGTATGGAAGTAAAACAAAGCCCAGGTTTGCAAGGCCCAGGCCTTTTCCCCACACAATGGGTCCTTTCAGGATGAATGAGGCAGAACAGCATGCAGGCGTCTGGCACAGATTGATTTACCAACTCTACTGGCACTGGGATGGAAACACTCAGGCAAAACACCCAGGTTTCACAGCAAAGTGAGACTTGTCAGTTTTAACGACTTTGGGATAACTAAAAATTGTTTTGTGCTGCCACCTTATAAAATGGAAGTCCAATTTTCCATTATTTAACTTTTTTTTTAAAATCACCGTATTTAGAGCATAAGCAGAGTTGGCAGTTACTCAAAGAATAGAATATAATGTAATATTCTGAGTATTGTAACTTCATTTATTTTTATGGGTATTCAATTTCACAGCAAACAGGGAAAGGAGGTTTTCACTGTGTATTGAATTTGCAGTTGAAACAATTGTTTTGACAACTTACAAATGGAAAGTTATGGATTTGTTTTTTTTTGTTTTCTCCGCTACAAATTCACAATGTAGCAGAGCAGACAAAACAACAAGTCCATGCAATTTGATGCAATACATGTTATGATAACATTATTATAAATGAGATAAGTTATAATAACCATCACCATACCTGACTGACCAGCTCCCCCTGGAAGTTCTGGGCGAAGATCTCCATGGGCATGGGGTTTCTCCTGGCCTTCATGGTCATGTTGGGGGAGTAGAGCCGCTCCAGCTCCGACTGTACCTTATCTAGCAGCTCGTACAGAAATTCCTGAGCATCCTGCTGGTTGTACCCCTTGAAGTTCGGGATGAGCTTCCAGACAGAGTTCAAGATGGCGTGCGGTGAGACCAGGGCCCACTTGCCTGACCACATCACTCTGAAGAGAGCGTGCAGGTCGCGGCAGAGGGATATACTCGTGATGTTCGCCGCCTCCCCGTTGAGAGGCACAAACTTGTTCCCCCGACCGTTTCCCGACGAGCCACCGTTTAGCCCGCGGCCGAGGTTCCGTCTCGCTGGCGGCGTCGTGACTGCCTTGAAACAGTCCACGCTTGTTTGTCGGAACAGTCCTCTCGACCCGCCGGCTCGGTGTTCCATCGCCTCCGTCGACAGCCTTCTTCTCGTGGACGTCCCGTCGCTGCAGCCGTCGAGGTCAAGGTTTAACACAAGGTCACGGAACTTCTGAAGGTGACTCAACACCTGGAGGATGGAGTTCATGTAGCACGTGTTTCCTAGGTTACGGAGGCCAGTGACCCCTGGTGTGATCGGGGCACGAGGTTTGGAATCGTCTTCGCTCTCCTTCAGTCTTCTCCTGTCAGCCGTTCGCTGGCTCTGTCTGCTGGGGGTCGACGGCCTGTCGTAACTCCTTCTCCTCTTGACGACTCGTTTTCTCTCGGGTTTCTTCGGCTCCGGGTGCGGGGGTAGGCCTTTGGCTTTTCTGGTTGCTCGCACATTGTCGCGCCAGATGAGGAAAACCTTCCGCATGAGAATAAACCGCCTGAAGTACATGGCGGTATAGTACTGGTCTGGTTCCACGCTGGTCTGTTTGGGCCCGGCATTGTCGTCCTTGCCGGCTCTCAGCACGCGCCCACTACGAGTCGTCCGTGCGCCGAGACTCTGGTTTTTTATGGCACTGAGGGTGGTTCGTAGGAGATGCACGTCCCCGGCATTGTTGTCGTTCAAGACATACTCCTCACACTCGTAGCAGAAGACGTAGAGCTCGTTGACCTCCAAGCAGATGGGGTGCTTGGTCTCCTGGAAGTGGTGGAGCGCGTGCTCGTTGATGTAGCGCCCACAGGCGACGTGCGAGCAGCTCAGGCATGCCCAGACGCTCTCCGTGGTGCCACAGATCCCGCACGACCACTTCTGCGGGTTGAGGATGGAGTGGTCCTCCGCCAGACGCTGCTTCAGAACGTGCTTGCACTTATCCATCAGTGCCGGTCCAATTGAAACCCCAAAAGTGGGATTATCAACAGTACATGAAGAAGGTGGTGTCTACCACTTACAATCCCTCCACTGCAAATTATATTACAGCCTTCAGACCTAAAATTTCGTTCTTATATCCCTTGGTTTTGCTGCAAAGGAAAGGCAATTTGTATAAATTCTTATTCACTCTTATACACAAGAAAAATTTAGAGTTATTCTTACGATAATCTCTCTTTGTCACAGTGATTTTGATGCAAATACCCAGTTAAAAAGGATTACCCTCAAGATTTAATTGATAGCTTCAGTCACGGTGGAAGGGGCCTTTTGTATGCAGAAAGAAAAAAAGAAGAAGAAAAAGCTTGCATGAATGCTGACTGGCTGTGCTTTCCGAACCAAAGGAAAGAACAAAGATATGAGAGTTTTTGCGTCGTCACCTGCTCTGACAAAGTTCATTCGGATGCACGTGCTTCAAAGTTTTATAATCTACCTGTGCCAAGTTGTGAAATTTTTGTTACCTTTCCTTTCATAAACAAAAAGTCATTTATAAATATTTGGGGACATATTAGCATTACAATGCATATATAACTCTTGAGTTGAAGGATTTAAACTTTTATCCGGAAATTATCCGTGGAAACTAAATTGATGACGATTGTTTTGGGCTGCAGTGCGCGTTGCACTGCGCTCTACCAACACCACACACACAAAACTCAGTCCAAGTCTTTTCACCAACGGAAGTCTACTTTTACACCGCAGAAATTCGCCTTTTTACGGGTTCCAGGAAAAAACTTACCGAGCAGTTCGTCTTACAATATCCTCACAGACCTTGCACGACCACAAAAACGGACGGTAGTTGTGATTTTATGGGATTCAGAGGAAATTTTTGTCAGTGTTCGCCCAGCTGGGCCACTCTCTCGCCGGTTCGAGGGGTCACCGCCATTTTTTCTGTCAGCCCCGGGTCACGTGATCTCCGAGTCGCCCTCATCGAACCGGAAACGGAAACATGATACGTGACGTCACGCGAGATTGCGGTTGATTTGCATAAAACCTTCACGCGAGATTTCGCGAGATTCACGCAAAAACTTCCCGCGAGGTTTCGCGAGAGTTACAAAACTGCAAGGCCGGACATGCGCAGTGGTTCACCTTGAGGAACATGTGTGTATCACTGCTGTGAAAATACTTTCTGGTTTTTGATCCAGTTTTGTGCAATTTTCTCAAAAAGATCAGACTGTGCAGTGATCATGTCTTACTGCAGGGAACAAGGTAAAGGTTTTAGAGTTGTTGTTTTCTCCGGTGCTTTAGAAAATGTTCAAAATCACTTTTCTCCTCCATAGCTGCCCCCCTCCCCCATCTTGGAAGTTTCATCACTGTTTTGCATGGGTGACTTACGTAATACTGTATTGTCAGAAATTACAACGTTGCAAGGAAATAACTAGCATGATGGGTGACTGACCTAGAACAAGAACTTAATCTTATCTTCTTATGGTTATAATTTTCAGCTAACATTCAAATACCATAGAAAATAGGCCCTTATATCATAAATATATTTTTATTTCTGATATAGCATTTTTTGTCAACACCTCTGGGACGGAGCTGAGGTAGGTATGAATTATTTTGGTACATGGTAAAATCAACACATGGACGAATTTGTGTTGGATCATAGGTACCTGTGTCTTGGAGGTCTGAGTCTTGCAACTCAACAACAAGGGCATCTTGTTATAAGACTCATATTATGAGTTAAAGCTGTTTTTCTTTACATATTATTTCAAGACTTATACAAATTATTGGTAGGCAAATCACCCAGCTGTCACCCACTTTGCCCTGCCACTCACTGGCCACGAAGTCATGGCGATCATTTGTATCCCATATATGCTGAGTCATCAGTGCTTTATATATAAGGAAGTGCCCTTTCAGTCTGTGGATTACTGTAAGTCCTGAAACTTTCCAGGTGGTTTTATTTCCCAGAAACCTACGATGCACGAACTATTGTTGCCATGACTACGAACCAAACACTCTACAACACCACCTACGTAACCAGTATTGAGTGTTTACATAAGATAGAGCAACACTGATTTTCTTTAAGTCCAAGTGATCCTATATTGCTTTGGCATTTACGAAGCCTTTTGTAAAAGATTCAGAAGGAATTAGCATCAGAAGTAACATTTGTCTTGTTATAAATATCTAAGTCAGACTCAGGTTGTATATGTGGTCAAATGAGTGCATTATTTTGCCCTAAGTAGAGTGGATTTGTTGTCTGACATTTTCTTTGTCAATCCTATAATTCAGTTAAACTAGAAGGCCCCCTTAGTGCAGCCTACAGATTCAACATATCAATCAAGCAATTGTACGCATTGACGTATTTGGAAGAATGCTTTGTATCCGGTCAACTTCTTCTTTGAAACTTGTAGATAGGTCTGATTCCTACATATAACTAATGCTTTTTATGCTTTTGTTCAGGAAAAGACAAGATAATTTTTGTCACCAAGGAGGACCATGAGAGTCCGTCCACAGCAGATATCACGTACAACCCCGAGGAAGATGATGACAGTCCTGGTAAGATATCTTGGATTCAAGACATTTTCTCTCATTTAGTCTTTCCTTTGTGGCAAGTCTCCTTAGTTCTAGCTGTCTTTGCTTCACTTCTGTTTTTGTTCCAATGATTTAACGAAGATATGGGGGTCTGCAGTGACCATAGTTTGGCTTTGAGAGCCTTTGTATTAGATTTTCTTCCCTATCTCCACCAGGACTGATCCTTCCCAACGGAGAGATCAACTGGCAGTGCCCGTGTTTAGGCGGCATGGCCAGCGGACCCTGCGGCGAGCCCTTCAAGGAAGCCTTCTCCTGTTTCCACTACAGCCAGGCAGAACCGAAGGGTTCAGACTGCATCGAGGAGTTCCGCTCCATGCAGGAGTGCATGTCCAAGTACCCAGAGCTGTACCCATTCGATAAGGACGAGGACAATGACAAGGAAGAGCAAACAAAAACAACAACAACGGTTGAACAGAAAACAAGCGAAGAGGTAGCAGTTACGAAAGAGTCTACAGCAACTCGAGCAAGCTAACCAAGATCAAAATAGTTTCTACCTTGTATTAAAGAGATCTTTCAAGATATACGTGTATAAACCATGAAGAAGCATGATTAGCAAAAGTAGATAATCTAAATAAGGGCCATATTCTGCGATTGATACTATAGATTCGTGTTTGCAGGGCTACTGTCAATTTAACGACAGCCAATTTTTTCAACCAGTAAACATGCAATGTACACAAAGGATTACAAATTTGACAAACCAATTTTTGGTAGAAAGAAACCCAAAGAGTCCCAGGGATATGCATTCTTACATGTACATGTACTTGGGCTATACTAAGTGGTCGGAGATTTTGAGTACATTATACCTCAGCTGCAGGCAGGTTTTGTTGTTTTTGGACTGAACGTTTTTCAGACTCTTTTTACTGTGTTTGTGATGTCAAAAACTTACAGTACAACCCTTGATGGTAGAATTCTGCAGATTTTACGTGTTTCGAAAATAGAATCAAAAGCATATAATTAAAAGTTCGTCATACATAATGAATCTCAGCCAGTCTTGCAGTGATTTGGTCGTCCTATAGACCAATGTCTTTATTCGATCACCAATAAAACTTACAGATTTTTGTACAGAAATGTCTCTCTCTTTTATAGATCTGCCACGTCAATCTATGATCTTAAGTCGTCAACATTACAATGTTTAATCATAGTATGACAAACCACCATACTTGGATGACCGACACATTTATTTACAAATTCCTTGAAGACACTTAGAAGTTAGAGATCCCTTAAAGACACATGAGAAAGTATGGCCATATGTTTTGTATAAGTTAGTCCTTACTAGTACTAAGTTAATGGTATGAGGAAGTGAAATTCAACTCAGTAACGTTATACATGTACATGTATTTAAAATTGATGTATCCTTTTTTGTATCAAGCAGTGTATTACTGCCATGTACCCAAGAGGCTCTATCATCATCAGTAGTTCCCAATATTTACATACTTAATGTTTGAATATTACAGTATATTTATTGCAAGAACAGTTGTTGAAAAGGTACTGTATTGATCACATGCAAGCATTGCAGAAATACTGGTACAATGTATTATTTTTCTTATAAGTTTTGTTTTACTATTTTCTATGCGTGTTTGGTACTTTTTGAGTGTAGCCTACATGTACAAGAGTCAGTGGTGTAAATTATATTCTGTACATCCCTTGTGATGATACCATGGATATTATACCTCTAGACATTGGAAAACGACCCCAATAATTGTTTCCAGTTTTTAAGAATATCTTATTTACAAACTTAAACAGATTGAAAGCCTAGAGCAATGAAACTCAGGACAGAAATCACTGACTTAACTTGGAGGCATAAGAATTGTGTTAAGCTGTATCAGATCCGCCTATACGTTGTTGTCTTGTAGCCGCGAAAAATGAAACTGAAGACGAGAAGGACTGATTCATTGACCAAAGAGATTCGGCAGTATTTGCACTGTATTATTGTAATAAGTTGTCTATGTTCCTATACTAGTTTGTACATCATGTGCAGACTTTTCTCAGTACTCTGGTGATGTCTCTCGTCGTAGCCTGCGCCCACTCCTTCACGTAGCTGGTCTCATTCACGATCAGGCGTCCGTTCTCGACGTCCTCGAACCCTGTGAGCAGGTATTCCTCGCCGACGTTCATGATGGGACAGGTGCAGCCGTGCTCCGCCCACGACGTCGGCCAGACCTTCGCCTCGCCTTTCTCCACAGACACGTTCTTCGACAGGATGACCTTCCGGATCTGGACGGTCACAGCAACGTGCGCGCCAAGGTCGTGGGCATCCTTAACTGTCGCTCGCAAGGCTGGAAAACAAGTATTAAAGTATGTAAGAGTTTCCCTACCAAATATGTGGAAATGGTTTTCAAAAAGAAATTTTATTAGCAAATTGCAGACTTACACATTGCTCCATATAGAACTTGAAACCAAAGAAATTTGGGCTTCAAAACAAAGTACTTCTTTGTGCACTGAATTAATCTGCATACAATGTTGAATTTTTTCCAACAGTGACTCAAGAAGAAGAAGACCTTACCAAAGTCGTAATGCTTGTCACACAGAAGCTCCGGATCCTTTAGAGTCTCTTCGAGACATTTGCAGTGATCTAAGAAAGAAGACAGACATCCTATGTAAGTATGGCAAACATATGCTAACTGATCAATGTCTTCATTGTCATTGACGGGATTTGAAATGTCACATAAACATGCAGCCTCTACCAAGCTTCAGGAGAGCAGCAAACTGTACTCCTATAGTGGACCAATTCCCCTAGCATGTTTATCTGTATATTTGACCAATATCTACTCTTTCCAGCCACTTCCAAAGCCTGGTAAAGAACCTCAGATACTCAGATACATGATGAATTTGTGAATCAGCACTTCCTGCAACCAACACTAGCATGATACCCCTGGACTCCTTACAGTGGTCTGTTTCTAACCTGTTCTCTGTAGTGAGATGTACTGTTGAAAGTCTGGCTCTGTCTCTTCCTTGATTGGTCGACAGGCCCCGGTCTCCAGGTCACAGATGTCCTTTGAACCACAGTTGCACTTCTGGCAGCCGTACCGGATCTTCCCGAAGCCCCAGTAGTTGGGTTTGCAGCGGTCGCACCTGGCGCCGGTCACGCCGTGTTTACACTTACACCTGCCGGTGAGCATGTTGCAGGGCCGCTTCCCAGATACGCCATCGACCGTACCAACCGGGTCACATTCACATTCTGGAGGGGGGAATAATAGCACACCACTTTAATTTTGTTTCATTGTAAATTAAAAAGATAGTGCTAGACTGGAAGATCAACTTGAAAACACAGTCTGAGGGTCAAACTTTGGTATTCAGTACCAAATATACAATCAGTACCCAGTTTTCCTCCTCCTTCTAGTTTCATCTTGATATCTCACCAAAATTTATGTCTGAAAATTTAAGAAAAGAATTTTGTGTGGACGTAGGACAAAGGACATCTGCAACAAATTTACTAGTATTTCTCTGAAAATCATGGACGATGTATTGAAGATAGAAACATAAAAGTGTTATGTTGCTCAGTGGCTGTTCCTGCTTCACGTGACTGCAGTACTACAAAGATATGTTAGGGGGCATCACACAGTTGTGGAACTGCAGGGCAAAAGCAGAAGGTATCTGTTCCCCCTACTCTATTCTATAATACTAAGATTTGTATTATCAATCAGATCCATATCAATAAGTAACATCAACCATCAGCTTTTAAAAAGTCTAAACTATTAGCTTTTATAAAGTCTTTAATTTATTAATCAACTGACACAAGGATGCAGATCTCTATCAAGGAAAGATTTAAAAACGGAATAGACCAAAATGCTGTCTGGCCAGAGGTTACAATGATATTACACTGCACAATGTTTTTCCAGTTCTCTTTTGTTCTCTTACAAATTAGATTCTTCTTCAGTAATCCTTCGGAGGTAGCCTGTCTCTAGGGCACATTAGTGTATCTGCCAGTCCATGTCTGGACCCTGTTGACTTGTCTGTCTGCAGGGCCCCAGAAATAGCTGGCCAGGAGGTCAGGTTGTTGACCCTGACCCAGAGCAGTGTCTTGTCCTGGATAATGAGGTACCGGTAATTATTGACTGTCCTCGTTTGTGTGATTAGAGACAATTAAGGAAAGAAAGCTCCCTCTTCTGATAGTCACCATGTATACACTTGGACTTAGTTTTACCAGCTTCTGTAGGTGAAAAATGCCTAAGCCAGGGCTCAAAATGTTCTGCATAACATGCACATACCTGTACCAGACAAATTTTACCTGCACCACTCAGAATATAGGAAATCAAGAAGATATTTGAACACTAGAAAAAGGCAGATGGCTACATTTATAACAGATGATTGACCAAACTTGTTCAGATACAGGTCCATGCAGGCCTAAATTCATGCATTCAACTCTTAAAAGTGGGTTCATTGTATAAAGCTTTAAGCACTGCACTTTTTCTCACAGTATAATTATCCCCAACACACCAGCTTGCCCACTCCTCTGTAGTTTACAATCACTTAAGTTGAAGGAAGTGCCCTTAACAGAGCCCTTGGACCTCCATGTTTGTTTGAGATGGAACCCGAGATCCTTTGTGAAGCATAGAAACAACTTGGCAGTGTTACAGAAGTCAGCCCTCCCACCTCCCTAAACACTAACATGTGCCTTTTGATGGATCTCCTGAGAGATAGAGTACAGTGGTATCAACTGTGAGCGAAAACTCTGGTCAGGATGTCAGTATTTGTTGAAGGAAGCCAGCGAGTCCCAAAAGGTTTCATCGTACAAGCGTGTAAGGAAGTGTCGCGGACTTGTTGGAGAACTTTTAGGAACTTGAGGGGCACTCTCTTACTCAGTTTGTTTTGTAACAGGGTGCTCTGTATATGCTATATATAGCAATGTTTCACTGCGCCAAAGGCAAAGATCATTGTAGTTCTTGGGGAAAATGAAAGGCAAGGTCAAATGTGGGCCGTCTGGCAGCTGTCCTTGGTACTGCAGCAGCACTTACTGGCAATACTAGGTAGCTTTTGGTGTGAGAAAAAAGTTTTGTACATTTGGTCCCCCTAGCAGCTCTTTCTGGAACTGCAGTGGCATTTCTGTCAAGTCAATAAAGAAAATCTTACTTTTACAGATCTCGGGATGTGCCTTGTCCCTGGAGTGGTCCTGGTAGTACCCAGGTCGGCAGCGGTGACACCTCCTGCCCATGGTGTTGTGCTGACAGTCGTCACACACCCCTCCCGTCTTCCCATTGGTCGCCCGCCACACGTTCAGGTCAAAATGGCAGCTGTCAGCGTGGCTGTTGCAATCACATTCTGAAAAGTTGTCACCGCCACTTTAGAATCATATACTTTGGGACAGACCAGAAACGAATAGTTTTGGCACCTGTGCCCTCAATGGCATCATTGCACCCAAATGACCTGAAATTTGGTATGAAGATGCCTTGGACATACTAAGTACATGTACATGCATACCAGGCCCCACAGAACTCAATTATATGAATATTTTTGCTTAAATTTTAGTTGTAGAATAGTTAATACAATAGTCGTAGAATAGTAAATACAGTAGTCATTTTGTCGAGTGTTATGGATATTTAGAGTAGAAATTTTATCTAATGAGTCATGACAATATCTCATATCTAATGACAATGTCTCTCCTCCACTCCTCTAACCAGGCAGTCACGTACTTTCACACATGTTCTTCTTGCCAGTGCGTCCGTTGCCAGGTTTCCAGGGCTGGTCGTTGTACAGAGGAGCGCAGCGCTCGCAGTTCACTCCTGCTGTGTTGTGTCGACACACACACTTTCCATTCACCTGCAGAGGCAGAGGATATTGATGAAAATTAACTAGAAGGTAACATTTACGAAGCAAATGCATAATGTTTAACATCACATGGTCTACTATACAAACTACATGTACTGCTCTGTTATTCTTATTCAAACACATATTTATGGTGACTAGTCCCTCCAACTCTGTCCTGTAACTTGCTACATAATGTAATCCAACACCACTGCTACAGCACCAGTTACCCGGAAGACCAGGCTGCTGACCAGAATGGCCTTACAAAGGCAGCATTCTGACTGACAGCAATCAAACCTGGCAGAGTTGTCATCCCTAAAGAATGTACAGAATCCCACAGATTCCTCCCATATCTCTGATGCAGGCAGTTGAATGGCACACGTCCAAAACAAGACTTCAACAGTGCAGGGTTTCTGGCAGCCCTGGGAAATTACTTTCTCTCAGCCAACAATCCTTCTGACATCTCAGTGACTTCCGACCAGGATAAGTTAAAGAGGGAACAGAGACTACGATGGTTGCACAGTCATTGTACATCACAATAGATGGGCTCCAGCCAGCCTGCAGTCCACCCACTACATTCCTGCGTGTTCGAAACTGTCCATAACTGACTCCACAGCAGAATGTCTCTGGTAGTATCTTGACCTACTTGTTGAAGTAGTTGACTGGTGATTTGTAGTTGGAATGTGCTAAGTTAACATCAGAGACCAAACTTGTCCTGGGCCCGTCAATCAACTAGGACATTTCCCTTCTCGTTATCTTAGCCCGGTATGTAAAACTTTCCCTACATATACTGAAGCCACTGTTCCGATCCAAGTTTTGCATGTCACCGCAACTAAAATCACTAACATTATTGTTTGTAGCTTAATAAGATTTGGAGGTCTTGTCAAATGTATCAAGTTTTTAAAGCACCCACTCATACTGGCATTTCATAGCTTACCTAGGTAGGCTTCAAAAGCGACTGGAAAGAGTAGAAATTGGACAGGTGAAATAGACAGACAGCATGTTAGGGGAGTGAAAAACTCCCTTAGCAGCATATCTGTCTATTTGGCCACTTTCTACTCTTTACAGTTGCTTCTGAAGCCTAGTAGAGGCTAGGCGTAACCTGTTCACTGAATGTTGTCAGTGTAAACTATGTCCACAATGTCTGGAATGGCAGTTTCACATGGATCCACCCAGTGTTTGTTATTGCTACACGTGGACCTGGTGCTGACAGAGCCACAAGTGGTCCATGGAGGCTCACAGGAACAGGTGGCACTGGAACTAAGCAGATGTAGGGGGCTGCATTCCACTTTTCTGTATACAAGGAGTAAGCAAGTTACTAGTACTGTAAGTACTAATTCTTAGGGGAAGCTATTCTCATTTCCTGTGATTTGTAGAAAACCTAGGAAGTTGGGTCTGGAATAGTTTTGTGGGTTTGCACGTATGCTTGTTTGTCCAGACAGAGCAGGTTGACAGCATGTGGGTGGGAGGGTCAAGATTGGCAGGCACTAAATGTATCTTGACAGAGGTTTGGATACTCAGAGTGCTTTTTATAATTGTTGTAGTCTTTTTTTAGCTTTAGCTTTTTTTAAAAAGTTTTTTTGTTAGATTTAGTAGCATTTACTGTCTTAGACAGGCATGTACCATGTAGTAGCCTTGACCTTGTAAGCACCAAGAAAGACGCTTTTTGACCTGCTACAAAAGTCAACAAAACAGTCCAGGAACATTCTATCCAGCATGTACAGCATTCCCAACACCACATGCAAATAACTGTCACCCACCTGTCAACACTTCCTACAATCAACATTCCCTCTGTCACTGAACCTCATCTTCTGCTGCTTCATTTCTTCCACCCTTTGCTTCCGACAGGAAGTCTTCGGTCACAAGTGAGCAAATTTCAGGCTAGTAAAGAATTTATAAGATCCGGGTACTAGTGCGCTAGTTACTTTCAATGGGTCCACACAAGGCTGTCTGAATTTTTCAGGTGCCATCAGCAGAACCAATACCTTTGCTTTTTAAGAAGAAATGGTTCTTTTTCTAAGATCTAGACAAATGAAATCTACATCAATGCTAAAGATGTAACATCAAATCTCATAATTCTGCCTGGCAGTTGAGGTTTTCATGAATTTACTGGAACAACCGAGGAGTTTGTTTAGATCAGGACAAGTTTTGAAAATCACTCATGCAATCGTCAGCTTCCTGAATTCCCCCATGTCTACCTCTAATTCCTGCTGGCTCCAGTCTGATTCTGTGACCTTGAAGTTCACCTCATTTCCCATGTCTGACCTTTTGACTTGTCATTCTGCCCATCAACCTTTGGAAGAATGAGTTGTCTCTGTTGTGTGCCTAAACACGATGAATAGTGGATATTTTCACTGTGGAACGTTAAAGTAATGAGATAACCTTTTAGTCGGACAACAATCCCCCCTCCCACCGCACGTGGGTGAACCATGTTCATGGCTCATCTATACTGGAACTGTTTGTTTTCCTCAGTTTTTTGTTCAGTAGAAATGACTTGTAACACAACAGTTCATGTAGCGCTACAACTATGTGCACAGTAGTTAAAGTAATGCTGACAGGACCTGTCACTGCCCAGGTCTATATATCATGTAAAGTCAGGACATGTGTCACTGTGGTATGTATACAGGTGCCAAGGTGGTCTTGAGGCTAGGGTTGTTGACTTAGAACCCATCTCCATGCGGGTAAAAATCTGGCAGTACGAAATCTGCATACGCCAAATTTTTACTGGGAGTAAATCGGCCTGTTTTGACGTATGTGAAGAAGATACGTTCAGATCATATGGCAACCCCAGAGGGTACGATATGAATGTACATTCATATGTCAAAGACTCAGATGGGCAATATACCTGGACCTTCCATTTAGTCACGTATATGACCTTTTCACCAACTTACTAACTGTATACCTTAGAAGTCAGAACACATTTACAGAGCGTTGACAGTTCCTATAGGTCAGTAGCATGTTAAAGGACAGTCTGATCTTTGAAAATCACAAATTTAAAGTCATTTCATACAGGCCCCCACAAAGAGATTCTTATAAGTTATCACAATAACATTTCATCAAATTGGGATGGAATAACTTATCAAACACATATCAAATATTATACTAAATTTTTCTCTGTTTAATTTTTTTCCAAGTAGACCAGATAACCAACCTCAGAAAGACTTAGGTGACCCGTGCCTGTGGATTTATTACAACATGTGGCCAGAGTTTGTTTCTCAACCCTGATTTACACCTTTCAGTGTTGGGGTATGTTTTGGTGGTCACCATGGCAACAGCTCAAATCAAGATGGCTGCCATCCCAGTCAACACAGTTGTGTGTTTTTGTTATGTCCAGAGAAGAGGGGGGCTTTCATTCAAGAGGCTCCCAGATTTGGTGAGAAAGCTTCTTCACTGCCAGATTCTGAGACCTTCAATTTCACTGTCTGATCTTTAGACCTATTAGAATCTGTCATTCTTCCTGTCAATCTTCCCACCACCCACATTCTGTCAACCGTTCTGTCCAGACAACAGACACACAAACCCACAGCTCAGCTACCTATGGTTGCTTCATTGAAAATGTAGGATCTTTTTGTTGTGTTTCATTTTCATTTCCCATGAAGTCTGAGCTGAAGTCATGTGTGCAGCAGGTTTCTAACTCGGCCCAGATCCCCCTCCCTCCCGGTGATGCACTGGTGATTATCCCAATAAACACCACTTTCCCTGTCTGGCAGGGATATACATCAGGTCAGGACTCAACACCTCCGGGTGTACAGGCTGATTAAGCCATGCTTCTAGCAGCCCTTCCACTGGTCAAGCCCCTATAGATTTTGTGCATCAAAAAGGACATTAGAGAGTGTGGCCTTGCCAGTACAGTGTGGTGTGGACCCGCTGGACAGAGCTGCCTTGAGGTGCAGTGTGAAGAGTTAGCCAATTGCTGCCCACCCATGTCAGGGAACCCCTAAGCAATATGATAAATACTGGATACTACTAGTCAGGAGAACTGGGAACATCTTTATCCTCAGGTTAATTTTTGTATTCATGTGCTAACATGGACCAATTATTGTTAGGCTGAGAATTGCTACAAGCAAAGTAGAATGCTCAATTTCATCTACATATCACTTTGACTTTGACTTTGAACTAGTCCAACATATTGCAAAGATGGCTAGATATTATGTTGCCTGTCATGACCTTACCCTCACCAGTCCAAATCCCACTTTGAAAGTCACCCTTGAACTTGGGAATATTTATGGTACTTCAGGGATCAGATGCAGGGGCAAAACCCCTGGCGACAGAAGTCTGCCATCCAATACCCTTTCAGATGTATCAATGGCTTCCTTTGGCTATGAATAACTTTCTGGGAAACCAGTATGATGTCAACAGGCTTACTAAGTGTGCTGACTACATAATAACATGTTTCTAAGAAGGGGTGGGGGATTTCCTGAACTTAAGCTATCAAATCTCTTTTTCTAATGTCTATTATTGCCAAGAAATTACGCATGTCTTTTAGTGGGCATCCGTCATCTGAGGGTTCTATTAGACCCACCTTTGATATATACTTAAACTTTAATATGATTAGGAAGGTAACACGACAAATTCAAAAGGACACCCTCCAACAAACACTACAAAATGATGAGCCTTTGGAGGGAAAAATTTCCGAAGTTGACCTTGCGAAAAGGTTGCAGGAGGATCTAAGGTCTAAGTTAAGGACTATTTAAGATGAGGAAAAGATGACACACCTTAAGAAGAGCGCTCTGTCCTCCCGGTCCGACCACCTTCCTCCCGTCGATGGGTACGCAGATGTCGGCATGTCCGTTACAGAAGCAGCTGCCGCTGATGATGAGGTTATACACCGCGAAGTGAGCAAACTTGTACGGCTTCTCCTGGACCTGCTCAGCGGGACAGCTACAGGACTGGGACAGAAGTCGGAATTCAACATTGAATTCAGTCTGCTAATGTAGCCATCTAGCCACTACATTTGTATTGGTTGTGGGGTAAGACAGTAAGAAGTTTAACTGTCGCAAGAAGTCACATCACGGCAAGGCGAGCAAACGTGTACGGCTTGTGAGTCTTTGTCAATGAATAATGGTTAATCCACCGCTTCCAAAGAAGCGGTGGATTGTTCATGGACAACACTGGCATTGCATAGCCGGAAAATCGTACCTGCCGTTTGAGTAGGCGCATCCTGATGTTGGTGATAGTCATGAGGTCCTGTGCGTGGAGACTGTAGGGGTCGCTGATGCTGTGGTTACTCCCCACGGGCAGGACCCGGAAGATCACCTGCACAACAACAGACAGACATCACAGCATTAACGGCAATGGCAGACACAAGTGAGACCTCGTAACACAAAGAGGTCATCATACACGAAAACTCAGAGAGCTTCATTTTAACTCCTAGGGTGATGATGGCCATGATTATTCCAAATACTGCAGCAACATCATTTGATGTACGCTAAAATGTCATATCAAATCAAGAAATTATTAGTAAAAGGTCCCCCATGAAAGATGCTCTGATGCTGAGCTCTTGAAGATGTCGGATCTCCTCAAAGGTTGATGACTTTGTCTTAATGTTCATATAATCACGGAGAGTTCAGAAATGTTGGGCACGGTGACAGTACATACAGCCAGTGCAACAACATCGTGATCTTTATTCTCCACGCTTGTTGATGTACCAAAGTGAACGAACTGAAGTCCAATTTGGTGATGGCGTTTTTTAGTTTCATTCGGATATTTTGAAATTCTATTCTTCTTTAAAACCTTTTTGTCAGCTGCCAAAACAAGTTTTACTTGCTAATTGATAGGACCAGGCTACCGTCAGAATCCTTGGCAAGAAAACCAGTTTCTTCTGCCAAAATCCACACATCAAAGGCGCGGGCGGGCTAGAGTAGTTTAACCTGAGATTCCAGCGCACCCGGGAGCGCAAACCTCAGCCAAACCAAATATGTACAATTACATAATGGGTAAATTTCATGATATCAGCATCATCACCTTTGGACAACGAAATGCAAAGCTTTGGGTTCGGTCAAGAAATTGTAAAAACTTTTTTTCCTTCTTGGCTAGGTGCAACAGGTCGTTCAGTGTAATGTAGCTAGCTGTTGCCGTGTGCCTACGAAGCTGGTGTGTTACGCCGAAGGGGGGTTATACCGGCTATACAGACACGGAGGTAGCATCAGTTGGCTCAACGTATCGAAATCTCGTAGCGCGCTTCTATATTTAGTTTTCTAAATATCTCTTAAGGTCTTGACGTCATCTTCCAAAGGATGTTTGGAGTTTTCAGTGCGGATAACGGCTACAAACACTCAGACGACTTCGAGCGGGCGAGATTAATGAGTCTTATTATCGCGTCTTGTGATTCCGACGTCACGATGCGTTTTAATAGGACCAATTATCTTGATAGGATCACATGATAAAGAAATAGTTTCCATGATTGACAAGAAAGTTTCAGTGTTCGATGACGTAGTAGCTGACGTGCTGCGAAGTCTTCAAAGTCGTTGATTGTTTTTATTGCCGTGAATGTCAACAATTCTCGTAATTCTCTAAAGGAGATATTTTTAATTATTTTTCTTTATTTAATTTACACAGCCAAGTAAAATGTGAGAGTTCAACGACACACAGTTGAGGCTACCAGGTCTTGAAAATCGCTGATTGTTTTCACTGCAATGACCTGGCAGAAATGTCAACAATTCTTATAATCCCTTCTTTCAGTATCCTGCATGGTTTGTTGATAATCATCTGCAAATTCCGGAAGCAAAGTCGTAAACACCGTAGCGTACATGTGCATGTGGCTACAAGCCAAGGACGTCAAATCTACTTTGTTGACGACAAATATCCCAAAAACGTCCATCAAGACGGATGTTGTCATTGGTGAATAATCTCCAAGCAGATCGTTTGGTGGCTGCAAGGACAGTATCTATTTGCCAGACAGTTGCCATTAGCCACCCCAAGATCAGCCGGCAGTCGCAAAACAAGTATTCATGTTACTTATTTTACAACAAAAGACACCTCTACTGATGTATCCAGAACCGTACCTGATCCTAACCATAACCCATTCAGGCACATTAGTAGATAGGCACGGTTCAGGATACGATACCTCGGTTACGACCTGGTTGTAACTTGTTAAACGTCGGAAACGCCGCTAATTAATCGGTATGGCCTTTTAAGCTCTTAAAAGAGCTTCCTGTGCGTAGCTGGGGCAAGTACATGTATGTTTGACTCCCGTGGGTCGCCGTAAAACACAGGAAGTGTACTAAACCAAAGGCCCACATGGAACTCCGCCAACAACATGCCAAACATTCGGGAAGGCGCTGTTAAAACATTTCCTGTGGCACACGCGACAGACTGAGCCAGAGGTACCATCTGGAGACGTAGACATCAATATAAAGTGAACCACCAAGGAATAAACCGGTCCCATAACATCACCCTACAAAATGCAAAAATAGGAACATACTACTGCTCTGTTAATTCTCAATCAATCATATTCATATATGTGGTAACCAGCCCCTCCAACTCTGTCCTGCCACTTGCTACATAATGTAACTCAACTACAGGGTGTCTGCCACAGCACGCCGAATGCCACTGCCGTCCAACAGCAGTCTATACTGTTGGTCCCTGAAATGATACCAAACATTTCAAGGAGACATTCTACAACTGCGGACCACCCGAAGAGCTATAAAATGAAGACTGGAAAGTGGGGCGTTGGAACAAGAAAACAGAGTCCAGTACTTCTGGCAAGTATTTGGGGCTTTCGTAAATTTATATACTAGTATTGGAACAACCGAGGAAATTTCATGGCGTATTTTAATGGAAACTGGTACTAGGACAGAAACTGCAGGTTTGGAAGGTCAATGCTGCAGTCCTCGGCTTCCTGCAATTCCCCAACGTCGACCCTTATTTCTGCAGGCTCCTGGCCAGATTGTGGGATCTTCAAGTTCACCACATTTCCTCTGTCTGCCCTCCATTATGCCCGTTAATTTCTCCCCCACAAACATATACAATCCGATATCTCAGCCATTCAAAACAATACTTCCGTCTGTACCCGGAAGTAACTACTGCCCAGAGCTCCCCAAGCAGAGGTTTTGACTTCGGCTTATTTTTAACGTGTTTTCATGCGTTTTTATCAGGCTTTTTTTTGTGTTATCTGTGGTATCAACTCAAACTATTTGAGTATTGGGTATTGGTGCTGTATTAAATGCAGCCATTAACAGATCTGCTGGAGGCTGGAATCTACCCTCCACCGCGTCATTCCCCAGCTCCATGCCCATCTCGCCCGGCCGGTGGTCAGCGTGCCGGGATGTCAGTCAGCCGGGCGGGTGGTGACAGGCGGACATGACTGTGACATGCCTCCAATAACACAGGGGCAGGCGGGACTGACCTTAGGATTGGGCTGTTCGTCCTTGAGAAGGGAGCTTAAACCGCTATCCAGAACCGTGCCTATCTAGTTCTATGCCGGAATGGGTCAGGGTTAGGATCATGCATGGACCTGGACAGTCTCCGTGTATCCAAGGTCATCCAACGACGTAGATTTGTCTCAGGCATGGTTCTGGATGGTTTAATTTATATCGTATCCAGAACCGCGCCCGGTTCTATGCCTGTACAAATATCCAGAACCATTCAGGCAAAGAACATCTAGTTCTATGCCTTAATGGGTTAGAGTTATGATCAGGCACGGTTCTCGACAGTCTCTTCGTATCCAAGAACGTATATTTTCCCCAGGCGCGGTTCTGGCGGAAGCCTCGGGCGTTAAACCCCTGTACGTACGTTTCGCGCGAAACAAGACCCTTTAGATTCTGCTGAGTCGACAACCCTAACCACAAGGCCACCATGCCATGTGAAGTACGTATTTCAACTCATGACAAGTAGCACGTGCTAATAGACTGATCCAAGAGTTCCCACCACCTCTGTGGATCGAACGTATTTCTAATTAAAAAAATTATTTTAAAAAAATGCAAATATGTGGCGAAGGTACTCTCTCATTGGTCGAATAGCTAATTGCTAAGATATAATTGGCTGAATTGCTAATTGTGATAGACATTCGGGATCAGTCTATACTGACGCCTTGTAACCATGGTAACGCGTCTCCAGTAAAATTCCTTTCCCACAGTCCCACCGTTCTGAGAAACAGGTGGTAGACCAATTTGGCAACGTCAGCGTCTAAAACTCGAGCCAACGTCTTAAAGATTTAAAAGCAACTTCACTTCACCAAGACAAGGCGTGCCTTATCTTTGTAAACCCCGCATACGCGCGGTCGCCTTAACACGGTTTCAGGAATTCTCAGCATTCCGACTTATCATCTACATAATTGATATTTTGGCTGTGTGAAAATTAACGGCAGTGAACTTGGCACAAATACCGTTATTTCGTAAGCCGTTCTTTGTAGCCTCTGGGTGATTTTTTGTCAATAAACCTGGGTGGTAAATTATTTTTTCAGCAGGGCTAGATTAAGTTTTTTGATCATTGTCAAAAGTTTTCTTTTTCAGAACCTGTCTAGCTATCCTTCTTTTATTTTGTTATACCCCAGTTAAAACGGTAGTCACGCTAGTAAGACACCAGTCGGGGCACATGCAGATGACATAACACAAAGACAAGTGGCTGAACAGTCCCAGTAACACTAAAGACTTCCTTCCTAGTGGTAAACTCGGGATAAAAATGGCGGGAACCCCCACACCGCGTCGTCCTGAGGTTTCAGTTATTTGCTGTAAACAGGATGGTGCCATGTTCAACGGGTGTTCACTGTCAAGTGGAACAGGTGGGCCAGACTCCAGAGTTGGAATAACGCAACGTTGGCATTGCTGCGCACACATATATCGTACACGTGCCAATACGATAGACGTAGATGACATCGTTGCACCTTATACAATTGTTGTGGAATAAAGTTTGTGTAAGATGATGAACAGTATCGATAGAAGTAAATGTCCATCCCGGTGTGAGTGGATCAAATCCATCAGCCAGGTCTTAAAAAAACATTATTTTAAACTCCAACGGTCAACTTCAACTTCATGCCTTTCTGGAACAAGGGCGATGAACTGTAATTGGGGGATCAGACAAAAACGGGAGCCTCTGTTTCTGATTAGCCAGTCACTATCTAACAAACACATGGGACTAGTTGAACTTACGACACGGACCAAATCTAATTGTCGCGTGATACGGTACTTAGTCTCAAACTTGGCAGAAATAGCGCCGAGTTGGCGAGAAGCATTGGGTTTCCGCTGAGTTGATTTAGTGGAAAAACAACTGTTGAATGTAGGAAACATACGGTTTGGGTTTGGCGAAAAAGGTCCGTTTTAAAACATTTTGTTGGAGTATTGGAATTTCGTACGTGCTATATCTTTCTATATCCTTTGAACTGTTTGTAATATAATGATACTGAATATTCTAAAATCACACTTCAGTTTCCATAGATATTAAGGTAAACAGAGGCGGGGAAAATCTGTCGATTGGTTTTGAAGCTATCTTATTCCAAACTTTTTTAACAAAAACGGCCTTGCAGTTCCGGAACAAGCTGCTAGATGGCCGAAACATGCCCCAACAAGACCATAGCCTGTTTAGAATAGAAGGTATACACGGAAACACACAAGCACATAGAGACACCAAAAATGATACCTTCGTTCAGGGAGGTAAAAATCAAATGTTCACTCAGCACAAACGTATGTAATATACACTGGCATCGTCTCTCAAGGGAGGCAAAGTACTGTAGTTTCCCAGACGTAAGTTTCTGAAAGGCCGGACACGAAGCTGCATTCCTGGCGGTCCGTCCCGGTGAATCACCGTGACACGGTGACCACACGGGCGGTGGGAGAGTCTCGGTGCACCGGTGAGTCACGGCGGGCAAACGCTGGCTAGATTGTCGCTCGCTTCGTCAGCAGAAAAGTATGCCCAGTTAGCGAGTACTTTTATTTTTACTGACAGTATAGCAAGTGAATGAAAGATGGGAATGAAACATCAAAATGTTCAGGTTTCTGGCACATTCGTCGCACGATAAATTTACGGCGAAGTGTGGACATTCTTGTCAGTCGTGGATTTGTCGTACGGCATTCAGTTATATTGAAACTCAAAATGTCGCATATTTTTTTGACAGTCGGATACATTTACGACAAGTTGAGGACAGTCTTGTGAGGACAGTCTTGTGACATCCGTGGAGGTGTCGTACAAAATTCAGTGTACAAAAACATCAAAAAGAAATCAGCTGACCAGAAAAAAAGGAAGAAAAATCATTTTGTCGCAAAACCCCAGCCCTATGGCCCATACATCTTGGTACATCCCAAAGTGGCGGTCGTGCCCCATTCCAAACACCTGTCAATCTACCGCCCCAAACTGTTACTCCTGTCAGGTTTCCCGCCACACACGAAGGTGTTTGTTCTCTGCCCCAGGATTACCCGCCCTGCAGTCTGATACTCTCGTTCCCAGAAACCCACCTGCCAACAAGTGGGAAACTAAACATACAACCTGCCGCTTGGTCACGACGCGCGCGCTTTCCTACAACAGATTATCAACTTCTAGGAATACTTCAAGAGCCAGTATTTTGTAAAAAAAAATCCACGTATTTCTGAGCCTGTATTTCTAGACTGTATTAGCCCATATTCTAGATTCGAGATAGCCTTTTGATGCCAGGCTGTTTCTGGAGACTGGGGCCAACATTCGACCAAGGACCACAACCCCCCTGAGTTAGCACTGGGTCTAACTCGGGGGTAGGGGTGGCTGGAGTGGGTGGGTGGGCGATAGGGGGCAGGTTGTTGTAAAATTTCCTTGGCCATGTAGCCCTGAAGTCGAGGAGCTAGCCTACGTAGGCTAGTAGCGGACGGTAGCGTTAATGTATTTATAAGTCCTGGGGTTTATATGGGCTTCCAACCTTTGGCTCAAAAGATTTGTACGCAGATTCTCTAAATACCTTCCGCGAAAAACATCCGCGCAGCCCTGTTTGTCCATAGCCCAGGTCTTTGACCTACGGGTTACTTCAGTGTACATGGGCATGGTGTGGACTGTGGCAGCCACTCATAAATTTGCCGAAACAGAAGCTGGGTGACAGCAACTTTGAAAAACAGCGCTGACTTCATTAAGATATTCTATTAGCCTCTATTAGGCTTCAGGGAAGAGATCGGCCAAATAGGGAATATAACATGCAAAGTAAGTTGAACCGCCAAAGGAGTACAGTTTCGGGAGACAGCCCAAACCGTACTCCTTTATCGGACCAACTTCCCTGGTATGTTACCTATCTATTTGGCCAGTTTTGTACTCTAACCAGCCGCTTCTGAAGCCTGGCAGAGGCTAGTATTATATAACGTCTGGAAGTTCTCGGAATTCAAGGCAAGAACTGAATACGTGTTAAAAGGGGAAGGGTGTGGATGCTGCAGGCGTTTAAAATTCTTCCCCAATCTTTGTGAGCGGATGTATCAAATTGTAGACCAAACGCCAGACATCGCTCTGCTGTAAATCTTGTACGGTTTGGGAAGACATAAAACTACTTGACAAACGTTATGCATGTTCATGGAGTAGCTTACAGTGCTGTAAAATACGTTATCTAAAAAGTCGCATTAGCAACGTTTGCTACGTTTTTATGGAAATACCCCAGTGCCCCTCAATATAGAAAAAGGAAAGCTGACCTTGCAAAGCGCGCAAAGTGGTTGGATCAACTTGGGAAAGCTCGCAAAGACACCCGTGTAGTAGGAGTATGACATATATACCTATGACATATTGAGGGGAGGGGTTGGAAACAGTAACTTGGCCTATATATGAATTAAATGCAACGCTCTAAACATTTAAAGCTCGCTCGTGCGAACTCTGTATGTCTTTAGGCAGGTGCGCACAGCTGGTAACAATGATGTTATATAAACTAACTACCAATATAAATTGTTACAAAAAGGTTTGTGTTCCGGTAATGTTAAGTGGTAAATATATCAGTAAATATATTGACCAGATGAAGGCTTGATCGTCTGGATAGACCGGATACGAGATTTTGTGTCAAATGACACTGGATATGAGGATACGAGAGTGATTTAAACGTCTGCGAAAAGGATCCTATAAAAACCGTTACATAACCCGAAGGTCATCCATATCAATTCCCAACCGTTCAGAAATACTCAGCAGGATTTATTTTTAGCCCTGCGGTGTCCGGCAGTAGATGGACGTGTGCGGTGGTCAGTGCCGTCCCGGCCGGACATTCTGGACCACTTGACGTGCCAGGGATGCTCGCGCCGTGCTGAGAGTGTTTGACGGACAAGACGGCCCTCCCACACTCAAGCAGGGAAACATAAATCTTCTTCAGTGGTAACAGTCGGCCTAGATTCTGACCTGGAAGCCATTTTTTGTTGGCTACAAAAGTGTCAAGTGATGCTAGGATACGATAGTACAAGTCAGTTTTCAAATGATGCTGCTAGGAGAGTACACACAAGTGTGAAAGGACGCTGGATACAAGACTTAATATGACGAGTAGACAATTAAAATAACTTTGGCAATAGAACAAAAATACTACTAGCGACGCTCTTCTGTACATGGCTATTATGCACTGTCGGTTTGGAGAATGTTCGTGAAACTGTGTATGTTTGCTTGTAGACCATGGACCGTTTCTCTTCCTCTTCCTGTCGACTTCTCTTATGTTCCCCTCCCCGTCTAACAGTGGTGTCCTCCGCACCTGTAAGCACGGTGCCGACAGCTCACAGACAAACAAAAATAAACTTCACACGTCTCACATCGGCAGGGACAACATGGAGGGATTCAGGTCAGCCGAGGAGACTTAGCCGAGTTTGTGGATGTATGTCAGCATTTGTAAGACACACTGTTATAGGAGGGAAGATTGCCATGATGTGTGTGTGTGTGTCTGTCATTGTGTTCGAATATTAGAATGCAGTAGGATGGCAGAAAGAGGGGTGGTTACCGCAGATTGACCTTGTGATCAAGTTGGAAGAATGGGTCACAATGGGTCAGATACAGAAAGTTAAGGCAAATTTCACGCAAAACAAAAAGAGACGGCTACCTATAAGGACCTATTAAACGAGGAAGCTATGAGAACCTTGCAAAGAATTCCTGTCACTTACGGCAGTTCTAACGGCATTCCCAGCACGACTTTTGGACACGCAGATTCCATGTACTACCGACTCGTGTGGTATTCAACGAATTCAGATTCCCAGCGAAGTGTGTGGGGTGGTGGCCAGGGTTCGAAACAAATGGAAGCCATAGCCCGGATGCTTTGCGTGCTTGTAGGGAAAGACGCTACCGCAAAACATGCGCGCGAAGTAGTAGTTTTTATCTAGCGGAAAGAATTAGTCGTATCCAGCGACTTATTGTCAATCCGAAAGGTAAAATACCTGCTACTATATTCAGAACTGTGCTTTATCCAGATCTCTAATCTAGAACCATGCTCAGGCACTGCTCTGGATAGTCCACACGTATCCAGAACTGTGCCCGGGGCAGATCTACTTCTTGGATACGCGGAAACTATGCATGTGAACTTGAACGGCAATGATGCAGGCCTTGCCCCTAAGGCGTCGTTAAAAAAAGCACCGCATGACTTGAATTGAAAAGAAAGAATTCTTCGACCACTTGCTGATTCAGACGCCAGGCATAAGTTTTTGACTCACCTGCTGAGGATAACTGGTCGCTGGAGGGTTAAAAGCAAGTGTGTTTACCTACGTTGTGTGAGGATTAAAAAGCAAGTGATTTTACCTACCTCTCCTCTAGTACACGGGTCCGGGTCGGAGTACCGGGACGTACACAGGCTTCCTTCGGGGTTCACCCCCTCCCTAAGCCCGAAGGTCTCCGTGCAGTTTCGCGCGAAGTAGCTGTACGTTCTCCACGTCTTCCCGTAGTCGGACGACCTTTCCAGCACCATGGCGGCCGGGCGCGGCGTGCGGAACACCATGACGAGATGCGTGAAGTAGAAGCGGCTCTCCAGGTCCAGCTGCACGGTCTCGGCGCCGCCGTTGTTCCTGGACTGCCACCAGGTCCCGCGGTGGCCGGCGCCGGTGTCGGTCATGTACCTGGGCTGGTGTTGTCGGTTCTTCCTCCCGGAGTGGCACTTGTAGCACTTCACCTTGGAGCAGGCGGAGGAGGAGGAGATGGAGCAGAAGTGTTCTCCGCCGTTCTCCCCGCAGGTGGTGGTGGTCCGCAGCTGCCGTCCGATAGCCAGGTTCCCGGGCGGCGGGTGGCACGAGTGCCTGTCACAGCGGCTGCGATAGGCTAACGGGAGAGACACTAAATATCAGATATGACATTTTCATGTAAACAGACAGCGCCTATTTAGTTTAGAACAATACGGTTTTTAACAATGTATTTTCCCTGTGTAATAAAACCATTTTGTGGTCGTCTGTTCTGGCTAGAGCCCTGACACATTCGTCGTAAGACCGTCGCCAACCGCAAACTGAAGGCATGTGTCATGTAGCTGTCTTATTGTGGCAAGGCTTTAATAATGCGGTTGGTTCTGTAATTTCTATCACAGCCTATGCATGACATCATGCACAATATCGTATACGACGACCTGCGGCGACTGCACCGTTACGTACGTGTTGGCTAGAATCGTCTCAGCTCTGTTTGTCCTGTTGATGTTTCGTTTACAAACCGTCTCTTACATACGCGAACGTTTGACGTATCGCACTGAATGACTTTTTTGTACACGTTATTTCAACACCAAGCCAGCCTTATAGCTTCTATTCAGTGATTCAGCCTGTGAAAATGCCTGGCACGGCTGTGTTTTCAGACGCTGACACGGGGCGTTCAGAAACGTTTGGCGTTGTGTCCACGATATGCCCTAACAAGACACACATGACGACTTGCCCGACACTAGCGAATACCCGAGCTTCTTTCACGTACACAGTAGTTGCGCATCCGAGTATCCTATGTCTCTCTACAGGCGACCCTCGTACAAGACTAATAACTCACAAATTAAAAGGCAACAACCCTGAAACACGCTCTCTATAATTCTCCACCGGTACTATATTTTCCTCACGATATGTTTATGTAGCGATACCAACTCGATTTTGACGAAGGCAGACGACAGGAGATATTTTCTCCCCTACATACCTTGTGCCGTTGCGGTGAGGACCAGCACTTGTAACGCTAGCAAGAGGTGGTAGCGTGTGCCCATGTTGCTTGGAACTGACGTACACACGAGTTATAGGGTGGCCGGGGTTGGTTGTAGAGTCCGTTTCCCGAACGCGTGCTCCGCGGAGGCGGGTACAGTCGAGAGCCTCTCTCAGTGTCGTGTGGCTTGCCCCGCAGATGCCGGTAAATATGCCTGTCACGCCGCGAAACTCGGTCTGGCCTCTCTTGTGTTTACTGTTGCGAAACGCAATACCAAACCACCGGAGCTCCGAATACTAGCACTCATTGGTCGCCGCTGCCAAAATCGTCGCATGCAGACCGGGTTGCTCGTCAGTTTTTGGCCACGCCTACTTCATTGCTTGATTGACAGACGTATTGGGCTAGCCTCCACCCTACCTGCCTCTACCAGGCTCAGTGGGAAGTAACTGGAAAGAGCCTATGATAAATTAGCCAAATAGACAGGTAAGATGTCAGGCAGTTGGTCCGCTGAAGGAGCGGCAAACTACCCTTTCTTGGACCAACTCCCCTGGCATGTTATCTGTCTATTGGCCCAATTTCTCAGAGGATCTTAGCCTCTTCCCGAAGCCTGGTAGAGGCTAGCATTGGACGATTTTTTTTCTCTCAGACTTCCGGTCGGTCGGCTGACTCGTTTATCTGTACGCCAATGACTATTTCATTTGATGGATTATTGGACGATGTTGTTTCTCCAGATTAGCGCTGTTTTCTGACTGGCGGACTGTGTGTGCCGACGCCACCGGACTATTTTGATGAATTTCTCGTATTTGTTCAGCCGAAAGCGAAGTTTGGTTGAGACCAGACGAAACGGACTCTACAGACAAGGTGCGGATGTCAAAAGAACGTAGACTGTCTAGATAACACATTTGAACTTTTGGAAAACAGAACCACATGTTTTCTATTCGTTTGTATCTGTGAGAGTCACTTTTGTACGCAGAACCCACCAACTTGGTGGGGCCCAGTCTTACTTCCTTTCTTTATGACAATAACCAATCTTTCTAGCCAGCCTTTCTGATCATTCTTGTACCAAAGTAACTGAAACTAACACCGTTAAAAATATATCAGGCTAAAATTTGCCCGGCTTTTTCTTGTTTCAGTGTTTCGCGCTAGCGAGATTTTATTTTGTTTTTATTCTTATTTTTGTGTGTCTGTGCTGTATGTCTTTCCGTTTCCCGTGTCCCACATCACTACATGTCTAGAAGAGCACATACAACACTATCTTCACGGCAAGAGTGGCCCGAATTGAGCGTATCCAGTTTACGCTTCGCCGGTGTCACTCCGGAAAGACACTTTTGTCCAGTTTGTCTTCCTTTTGACACGGACATTCCACCCGTTCAAAGCTCCGTTGATCTTCTGTACCCTTTCTTGTCAGCGTCTGACATTTGCTCTCGAGGAGAGAGACAACTGTTAGCATAGCCCGGGCCCGCTCAGGCGAACTCTAGTGTTGACCTCTGGTGACCTGACAAGCCTGTCCAAATATCCCGCCTTTTTAGTCCCTGTTGATGGACGGTTCTTTCTTAACAAAGGTACTACGTCATCTGCGAGAAGTTGCTCAGTGAAACTAATCTATCATGGAAACGGTATCGTCTTCTTTTTCACGTAGGAAACATGAACGTAGTGTATAGCTATTCAATCATAAAGTTTGAACGACCAATAGGGGCACGTGTTTTTGTGACGTCACAGCCATGCTGGTTGAGCCTGGAAGTCTCCTTGGTCAGACCTACACATTTTATCGAAGTGGTAACCTACGTGCCACCAAGTAGTAGTGACCGTCGAAAAGCTGAAGGCTGAGGCTATTGATAGGATGATCCTGTCAATAGTGGAAACTATTCTGTTATTAACAGGATCATCCTGTCAGTAACCATTTCCAAAGCTAAAAGGTAAGAAAACGTTACAATATTTCACCCCAATATCTGCTTGAAGATCACCTCAACGCGCAAGTGGATGACAGCAGCGCTCCCAGCGACCAAAAATTGACTTGCAACAATGCGTGTCCGTGACTCAAACTCTCTCGTCATTCCCGAAAAGTTTTCCTATTTAAATTTTTAGCAGCTCCTACCTCTCTGCATAAGTCTAAACGACATGTTCTCCAATTTTTTCTTCGTTTTTAGAGACGTAATTCACAGATTTCACTCGTTTTACGACACTTGTGGTCACGCGTGAACGAACCATTTTGCGACTGTTGACCTCTGACCTCACCCGGACGTGGAAAAACAGTTTTTCAACTTTTCCAATTTTCCCGCGATGTCTTCTCTAAAAGATGTCTGTTCTGGGCTGCCTGTGGACCAGCTGCCGCCACAGAGGGACCGGGACGACTCTGTGCCGCACGCGCCGGTTCGAACTCCCAACTTGACCCCTGAAGAAGAGAGGGTACGTGAAGATAATTTTGTCCTCTAGCGCAGTCGGCAAAAAAACGCCGTCTGCGAAAAATCTGACGCCCGAAAACTGTTCTAGATTACAACCTTTGCCTCAAAATCGGAATAGAAAGCCGAATTCTACTTTATTTGCTCTGTGATTTGTGTTTATGAGGTTGAAATGGGTTTAAAAGTTTGGGGAGGGGGAGATTTTAGACCACTTTGGGCGGGAAATATCAATCAAACCAAATGGAGGCACGTGATTGGTTAGCCCTGGGGGAGTGTCTGGGGGCTTGACCCCTGCCGCGTTTACTAGTACTTTTAGTAATTACTAGAATTTATTCATGTCTATTTGTGCAAAAGAAAAAAATTAACGAAAAGATTTTTAAAACAATGTAGAATTACTTTTATTTTCAAATGAACTGAACAGCACATAACAAAAACAAAAACTTTTTTTTTAGCTTTCATTGGGAAAACATTTATTGTCCATTACAAGTTACATATAAAAAGCATATCACTATGAAGAGAAAAAAATACTAAACTGTTTTTTTCCCTTACACTTACAGTTGGCCCTGCAGAATGCCCTGCGGTACTTCCCACCAGAGCTGCATGGTGTCCTCGCTCCAGAGTTTGCCCAGGAGCTGCGGGACTACGGACACATCTACATGTACCGCTTCAGGCCACAGTGTGAGATAAGGTGACTGACAAAATGTTTTGTATGGCCACAAAAATTTTTAGCCACTTGTAGTGAATGCCAGCATGCCCAAGCACACATACATACAGACAGACACACAAACAAATATATACTCACATATATAAATATACACACATACTAACTTGACTAAGACAATATTATGGAAAATTCAAAATAAAATCAAAGATCCAAGATACTACAGTGACTCAAATGACTTCCTCTCCCCAGAGCCTACCCCATTGATGAGTACCCGGCCAGAACTCGCCAGGCTGCTGCCATCATGCACATGATCATGAACAACCTGGACCCAAGGGTGGCACAGGTAAGAACACATGGTTGCATCATAGCTAACACGTATTATAACCTGGGTGACCCAGGTAAGAAAATAGAATTTGATACATTTGATCCCACAGGTAAGTTAAAAAGTTATACTGCTGCTAACCAATTTTGATTAAGAAAGTTTGTACATAGTAGTAGTACATGTATATGTTAATGTTTGTCTTAAATATGCACAAAACTTGATGTTTTTTCTTCTTCTGTCCTCAGTTCCCCCATGAGTTGGTGACCTATGGTGGCAATGGACAAGTGTTTGGGAACTGGGCACAGGTATGGTCAATCTTGAGATGTGTGCAGTGGTTTTATTTCTGCAGTTCTTCACGGTGATACCTTACCGCTGTGGAGGGTAGGACCTGTGTATGGTCAGCAGTAATGCTGTAGAGCTTCATACATTTACCTGCGAAAATACATGCATTTACAGTATTTGGCTAAGGGCATTGTTAGAATCTTGTAGTGCATTCATTTTGTACCATGGACAGCAGTTCACAGTTTTTCTGTTCGTTGTTTCTGCAGTTCCTGCTGACGATGCAGTACCTGTGTGAGATGACAGAGGACCAGACACTGGTCATGTACTCCGGCCACCCCGCTGGACTCTTCCCCAGTCACAGTGCAGCACCGAGGGTCGTCATCACTAATGGCATGGTCAGTAGATATGTATGACAAATACCGGTACATATAGATCAGTGTTTTGTGTAGGAAATATGTCAATTATTGGTTTAAATATAGTCCATGGTGCATCCTGATTGTTGATTGTGTTTGTATCCCTGCAGGTGGTTCCAAATTATTCCTCCAGAGAGGAGTATGAAAAGATGTTTGCACTAGGAGTCACCATGTGAGTGGGCTCTCATTCTAATAGTAGTTCTGAATTCACTTTTTTTTTTATTGCCTAAAGATTATATTGTCTCACTTCTTATGAAACAAGCTGTACCAAACTTTCTTTTTCATTATTAGTTTTATTCACTGAGATATAACAGTGAGTGAGAGTGAGATATTAAACAAGGTAATATTGAAATTTATTGCTTGTATTACTTTGTTTGACAGGTATGGACAAATGACTGCGGGAAGTTACTGCTACATTGGGCCACAAGGAATCGTCCATGGAACTACAGTATGTATCTAACTCTGATGTTAACTACTTTTTATTGATGGGTATACATACTACATTTTGTGTACTTATAAGCCATAGGTGGACAGCAGTATTATTGCTTGCATATATTACTTGTTTGTACAGTAGAACATATATAACCAAACTTCTTGCATGTTTCAGATCACGGTTATGAACGCTGGTCGCAAGTACCTGGGTTTGAATGACCTGACTGGAAAGGTAAAAATACTATGCTATATATTGATTCTGGTCACAAATTTTATTCATCATAATAATAATATACCCTGTATATTCTCAAACTGAAAGGTTTTGATATTGTAATATTTAGTGATTCATACACATTATTCAATCATTGTTTAATTTGTGCTCACAGCTAAATACACTAGAGGTACATTTGTAGACATCACAGCCATTGTAAGATCAGTACACTTATGATGAAAACTTGAGGATCAGACATGTTTTTGTTGTTTGTACACAGGTGTTTGTGACCTCAGGGTTAGGTGGTATGAGTGGTGCCCAGGCCAAGGCAGCTGTCGTAGCCGGCTGTATCGGAGTCATCGCTGAGGTGAAGATAGCCTTTTCTTGTTTTGCATAACCAGTAAACTACCTCATATTGTAACACACCAGTACTGACCCTTCATCTGAGAGAGTCAAGTGACAAAATAGGTGTTAAGTGTCTTTCTTAAGGGTGCAACACACAAACAAAATTCCTGACAGATAACACAGTTTCACATTAAATAATGGCAACCAGAAGTAAAGAAGAAAAGACAGAGGTATTTATACAGCTGTGTGTGAGTGACTGTTTAGGTAACACAATTATCTGACTGGTGAGAGTCCAACACCAACATGGGGAAGTGTTGACATCACAGAATTACTCATCCTCAACATGTGAGTTCAGGTGCAAGGGTGGCTTACTGGATGAATGGATGTTATATAGATAGCATGGGGAAACTTTTACTATACATGTATTTTCATCTACCTTTTTCACCATTCTATGAATGAACAAATTCTCTGTACAATGGGCAAATGGGCAAATGCAATAAAGAAAAGGCAAACAAAAGAAATAAACAGCTGCAGGAGGAACTATAACAATAGCTTGTGAGCTCCACAGGTGAATGTGTGCAACATGTTTATTGTTGTAGGTATTTTGTTACGACTTCTTCACTGTCTACAGACCATGGCATATTTCCTGTTGATGATATAACATTTTGTCTGTTAAATACATTCACAGGTCAGTGAGGAGGCACTAACCAAGAGACACAAACAGGGGTAAGGGTGACTGACTGTGTATGAAATGTAGCTGATTTGTGTGCAAGTATCTAAATCCTTCTGATGATAGAGATACATGCATTTGAAACTAACCTAATTTTTATCCTTATCGTATCCACATGATTGTACAATATTGTACATATTAACATTGTAGCTGATATTTTCCCTATGACTTGTGATGAACTTTCCTGTTTGTGTTCTGATCTGTTCCAGTTGGCTGATGGAGACAACCTCCAACCTGGATGAATGTATGAACATGATCAGGTACTTGCTTTGTCGAAATTTTTTTTATATGATACATTTTTGTATAACTGGCATTTTATTGAGGTTAATCATAGGATTTCAATTTGGGTTTATCAATGAAGATGGCAAACGGTTATCAAAGCTTCAGGTCTTGTTATATATAAGTTGTGAATAAAGAAACCAACCACCAGTCCTCATGGAAATTGTTCTTCCTCTCAATGCCTATATATCTTTCCTGGTTCATGAAGCATCCTAACTAAGTGTACCAAACTTGATTTTCTACCCTATTCAGGAGGTACAAGAGAGAGAAGAAGACCACCAGCATTGGTTACCTTGGCAATGCAGTAGACCTCTGGTAGGTTATCAGACTACCAGTACATTTCTCTAGATGACTTTTGATTTCAGTTAGTCAATTGTAACAATTAAGACAATTTTCATATTTTAGGCCATTTCCTGCAACGTAGTAATGAATGCTTAGGTCCCAATTTGAAAAAGGGTAGTTTAACATGTTTTTTTTTTTGCAATTTCTCTTATTGTTTTGTTCAACCTTTAAACAAAATCCTGTTTGCATCAGGGAGCGGCTCGTGCAGGAGTATGACAGTACTGGTGAGCTGTTAGCAGACCTGGGATCTGACCAGACCTCCTGTCACAACCCGTATGGTGGGGGATACTACCCTGTACAGGTCAGTCACTTACATATACCCCTCAAAAATATTCCTATTGTCTAAATCTCATAAAACTGATAGTGAGATACACTTTGTTTTGTGAAAATTAGAATTTTGGAAAGTCAGATGTAGGCAATAGGTTACTAGGTGTTACAAATTGCTGTAACACATACTAGCATATCATACATATATATATGTGATACAAGTTGACAGATTTTTTGTGTGTTTCAGCTGTCCTTTACTGAGGCCAATGAAGTGATGCACAGCGACCCTCTCAGGTTCAAGAACTTGGTGCAAGAAAGGTCTGTTTTTTGCAAGAATTGAATACATACATGTATAGCCTACATGTTTTGTAAGTTTTGTATTTCTACTTGCATTTGACACAGGATTCTTGTTTGCATGTTGACAATGTACAAGTGCCAGAAAGAGTTGTGACTACTATGAGAGATGTTTGCATTTGTTTGACAGTTTGCGCCGTCAGATCACTGCCATCAACAAGCTGTCTGATCGAGGGATGTTCTTCTGGGACTATGGAAACGCCTTTCTACTGGAGTGTAAACGGGCAGGTGCTGATGTGAATAAAGAAGGTGACACTTTGGGCACCAGGTTCCGCTACCCTTCCTACGTACAGGATATCATGGGGTGAGAAAATGAACATTTGAGTTTAGTGTAGCATTTGGCTCTTAGTAACGTTTCATTAGGAGACAATCTGTCATTGTTCTGTATCCTTGCCAATCTCTTGATTGGTGTTAAATTGCTGTTTTGGTCTCTCTGTAAGTACACGTATTTGTATATTCTGTGTCTGTGTATATTTGACTTGCTTCATATACATTGTACTAGTAATTAGAAAGTTTAATGTACCACATATCCAGTCCTTGCTGATGGTTGCTTTAAAATGTTTGGAGTACATTGTACATGTATTTTAAATAATGTAAGTTGAGGTTCAGATAGTGTATGTCTGCTACCTTGAAGATTTGATTTGTTTTTTCTCAGTGACATCTTCTCACTGGGTTTTGGTCCGTTCCGCTGGGTGTGCACGTCTGGGAACCCTAATGACCTGGCCACCACAGACGAGATCGCTACATCTGTACTGGAGGATATCATCAACAAAGGAGGTACAGAAGATATGTTTAAGAGTTTTGTCTCTTTTATTAATGTTTATTACATTGGATTTAAAATTAATAATAAATGTTGACCTGATCATGAACAAAAGATATCTGCCAATGTCATTTGTGTTCATACCTGCTCCCCCATAAATTTAAAAGATGCCATATTTATAATGGAATCTGGTATTGTTTTGCACAGTTCCTGAGAGCGCAAAGCAGCAGTTCCAGGATAACATCAGGTGGATCAAGGAGGCAGGCATCCACAAGATGGTCAGTACTCTATCTGCGCAAGGTTGAGTTGTTCATCTAGTTTTTGACTTAAGTTGCACTGGTGCGCCTGGATATTTTTGTAGGGTTTTGTACGTAAATACAGTGTATACTATAATTGTTCTCTAGAATAGAGCATGTTCTTCACATTCAAATTTCTGATAAAATTCCCTGCACGTAGCTTTGTTTCTTTCTCAATTTCACGTGGCCTAAAATTATGTTTTAATTTTGACTAAACATTAGAATTCTATAATTTAACTCCAATACTTAAATAGACCAGGATGCTCTGTCAACAACCAGTCTCAGGGTTTGTGACTGGAGGTCTCTCTTGATTGTCTGTTCCTCAGTTCCTTACTCCAATACTGATAAAATACAACCGTTGTTTCCAGGTTGTAGGTTCCCAGGCCCGTATCCTGTACGCGGACCGTGTGGGTCGTATCGCCATCGCCACGGCTTTTAATCAGGCAGTGGCTGATGGGAAACTACAAGGGCCCGTTGTGATCAGCAGGGACCACCACGATGTCAGCGGTACGGACAGGTCAGGAAACGTTGTTGTCTGTTGTTGTTTTTAGACGTCTTCACTAATATTCAAAACTCATCTGTGTAGGTAGAAGCCATAGTTGTAAAGTTGAGCTTTGTTCCAACATGAAAAGAAAGACTCACTGTAAAGTTTTGGTCAAACATGCCAACCTTCTTTGAAGAATAATGTTTTTCTTACAGTCCTTTCAGAGAGACCTCCAACATCTATGATGGTTCAGCATTTTGTGCTGGTAAGTAATGGTTATAGCAAACTTTCATTTCATGTACAATTTGTTTATTGTATCACCCCCCATCCACTCGACCTTGTTGACAAGTGGCCACATATATACGGCTGAACAAGTTATCGAGAGTAAACAAAGGCTTTAATCACTTGATTGTTCAACAATCAACATAGTATTGGTCTAGTAAGAATGGTTTCATCTGATGGTATTTGATAACTAGCTTGTGTATGTATTGTCTTATGAATTTTGAACATTAGCGTACTTTCCCCCACCCTCAACCCTCACTAGTTTAGGATATATTCAACTGGTAAAATGATTATCACTATTTCCCACAGACATGGCTGTTCAGAATTTTGTTGGTGACTCGTTCCGAGGTGCCACATGGGTGGCTCTACACAACGGTGGGGGATGTGGCTGGTAAGTCAAGTGTTCTTGTGGTCTTTAAACTTATGCACTTGATAATATAGGTACATGTACTGCAATTTTATTTTTATACATGCACTTTTGGTATTAAACAAAATTCTGTTTTTTTTTTCACCTCCACAGGGGAGAAGTGATCAATGGTGGGTTTGGTCTGGTGCTGGATGGTTCAGAGGTAGGTTTTTTTTTCCTTTTTCTCACTAATTTCCTTTTTTTGCCAGAATATATTTTAAGCCAATTGTTTCCCAACATAAGGAAATAAGTACATGTACCTTTTAACACTTTGTAGTTTATACTTTAACACTACATTTAACTGTTCCTTCAAAAGAAGTTGATAAATTTTTGCCTTTTTTATGGAATGACAGTTTTTGATTTGTAGGTAATTGATCGATCTGCTTGTTACCCCCTCCCCCTTGCAGGATGCTGGTGAGAGGGCCAAGATGATGCTTCAATGGGACGTCTCTAATGGGGTAAGATATGTCTTTACTTCAAGGTACGAAAGTAGTGCTTTTGGTGGTGGAGCTGTGGGTTTGCGAATGGAAGGATTACTTTCACAATCTGCATCTCCCTCCCAGGTTGCTAGGCGGAGCTGGTGCGGCAACCAGAACGCGAAGGAGGCCATCTGCCGTGCCATGGACCAGAACAGCAAACTCAAGGTCACCATGCCTCACGCCGTGGAGGACGAAAACTTACTGGAGAGGGCCTTCCGCAACTAAACAGGGCATTCTGAAACTAACAACCTACCCAATGCATTGGCGTCTTGTCTTTGGAAAGTTAGAAACAATACTGCTTTCTCATGAGAAGAAATTATAGGCTTCAGAAGTGTCTGGAAACAGTAGATATCAGCCAAATAGACAGATAACAGGCCAGTCAGCCACCAGTGGATTTGGTTCGCTAGAGAATTTGCTGCTCCAGAAGCCTGGTAGATAGGGTCCTTCTAGTAGAGCTTGTAAGACAATCTACAGAGAACAGAGAGAAGGGGGGATACAGACTCAGTACATTAGGGGCTGCATGCATTCTTCCTACAATGCCACCAAGTGGCAAGGAGTAGTACTGCAGTCAAGTCCATTCAGGCCTGGAAGTTACCAAAACCTCAGAGAATAAGAGCTACTTCAGTTCCTTTTTTTGGTGATTCACGAACTTCATTTTTCTGTGTCTCACATATATGCTATTGGTGATGGAATGTACATGTATCTACATGTATGTAAGGTTAGGTACATTGACACTAAGAGGTCACTAAACCTATGTAATTGTATGCTGCTGTTAGGTACAATCTTATCAATAGGACAAGATTTGTGTAAAATGAAGACTTGAGCTGTATTCCTTGTTGAAATCTTCAAGGCTCCTCGACATAGATATTTTCTTAGAAGAAAGTTTTGCTAAAGCTTTGTTGCAGTGGCTATCGATATAGAACTGAGTGGCATATGATAATTGTAACTACATGTGCAAGTATTATATATAACATAGGGATACGATTACCATCAGGTTTTAATCCAAATCATGTTACTTTGCAGATTTGCCAGAACATTGCCATGAATTCAAATGATTATATGGTTGACAGCGTTTGGAACTACATTGTTCTTTTGTTGCTTATACTATACCAATACTTGCCTTGGTGACAGTAAAATTAACAAATATAGAAAAATAAAAATATCACCACAGTTTGTCTCTCTATTTGTTCCCTGTGCTTTTTCTGTAGTTGTTGAAGTGTTCTAAGTATTGTAAGATGGTGTCTGTTGGGGAGTAGACCCCATCCTGCTTGTTGGCTAGAACTTGTGGGATAGCTGGCTTGTTGTCTCCCATGAATGTTCCCATGAACTCTGATAGGAGACTCCAGCAGTCGTTGGGCACCACACATGGTGTGTATTCAACCTGCAGGAGGGAAAAAAGAAACGCTCTAGCAATGTACTTGTTTTTATGCAGTTAACTCTGCACCCTACATAGTTTGATAGCAAGGTACTATTTTTCAAAGAATGGGAATGTTACTAGACAGACTTTAAAGTAAGGTATCCTTATGTGTATTTTTGTCATATCGACACTTTATGTACAGTAAGTGCCCTACTAAGTTAAGCTTTTCAGAACTAGCAAGAAGAAGGTTAAAAACTGTAGACTATGAATACCACATATCCTTGTACAAAGGTCTTTGTTTCCTTGCTGATAACTACAACGATAGTACTTTTTCTTCAATGGCAGAGAATGTAACAAACATGCATACCTCCACCAGTATTCCTCTGGAACTTGCTGTTGGTCCTGTCGTCACAGTCCCTATCTTCACTATGAAGTCTACATACTCATATCTTGGTCCCTTCACTTCTATCTTAGCTCCTTTTCTCGGTGTGTAAAAACCCTTGGAGGACCAAAAACGAAGAAGCAAGAATATTAGCTTAGTACTCTGTGTTACTAAATCATATCACATGCATAACAAGAATTTAGTTCAATAATTGGTCCACATTTTACCATTGATCCATATTTCAGCCCCCCCCCCAAAAAAAATAATTACTGGATGAATATGAAAAAAAAAATGATGTAGAAGGACATACTATATTTACCTTGAGTTTTGTCATGAGCTGATCAAAGTTGCTGTCTGCCACCAGACATGTGCCTGAGTCCATGATGGCAAAACAGGTCAGGGGATGTTCCGTGTTGTGCATCACATGGGCAGTTTTAGATGGAGCTAAAAAAAAAAAACATATACAACACATGAGTTAGGTTATAAGATTAAGACTACTGTTTGGACTCGAATTGTTCAAGAAACAAATTTTTAACTTGTTGAATGCTATGTCATGCAAAACTCAATATGAATCTCTGGACATTTAAAACTGTATAACTAACTCATTAACTGACTAACTAAGCTGTAACTCACAGATGGACTGTCCTGACATGTAGGTCTCACAGTCCACACAGAATGACCCTGCCTTGGTGGCTCCGGTCCCCTCCAACCGCCGCTGTAACATCTCCACCGCCTGCTGTCCACTCTTCCCATCAGGCACCGGCCACTGGCTCACACTGCAGGGTGGAGGAGCGGTAACTTTATAAACTGTCTTTTTTATTACACAATCTCTTTCTCTTTCTAAAACCTTTTTTTTCTTTTTTTTTCTACCTCAGTGTGAAAAAGTTTTGTTTTTGGCACGTCTGTGTGCTTTGTTGTGTTTCTGTAATCTGCTATCTGGGACAAAAGACTGATGATGTAAGTTACTAGTAAGTTATGTGAAAGTCCCGAGTTTCAATTACCCTATTTTTCGAATGTAAGAAAAGAGCTTCCATAAAATCATTTAAACCAAGTCTGTGAAGAATCGCAAAAATAAAACACCACTTACCAGGTGACGCCCATGTTGCTTAACTGGTTAAAACGCTAAAACCTTCACAGCGATGTTAGAAATTTGCAGATTTCAGATCTGCCGACGCCATCTTTGTTTGACCTTTCACCCTAATGCCGAAGGCAGATACCATAACCAAAACAGGGGAAAGTCAATATAGTAGATAGTAGATCCATTCAACGTAACCAAGACGTTTTAGTAAACAAAATTGATAAAAGAATATTGAGCAAACAATAACAAAATAATTGATAGTGTCAACATATTTTCTGACCTATTAAAAAATAAGGAGGAAAGTTATAGATCTAGTCACTCCTTAATTTGAATGGCATCGTCTGAAAGACATCCGGGCCAAATTTTCGCGGGAAATTCCAGTGTGTGAACAAGCGACTTGACGAGATATACCGACTAGTTGTATAGCTGCAATACTAAGCTTACAAACCTAAAGTTAACTCAGTACACGTTACCTGGGCAGTTCAGAGAGTACAAGGAAACACAAACTTTTAAGGTGAGTTGGAAGAAGTCTTGGAAGTTTGAATTTTACGCTCTTCGGGTTGCAAGGCCAGGAGGCTGGGACTGACACTGCCAAAATGTAATTGCATGAATTTTGTCGCGATTTTGATCCCGTTTAACAAGTAACGTTACAAATGATATAGTACTTGTACATAAATATATGGTTACAATCTGGTTTGAAGAGATATCTTGGATGGAGTGTTATGATATTGTCAATTTTCATTTTAGTCCCCCTAGCAGCTTTCATATGTACTGCAGCAAGGTTTTTATTTTCCTTTTCCAGCCATGCAGCGAGCGGCGCGTATGAAGCGGGAGGTGGAGATGTTTGCCCGTGATCCGCCCCCGGGAATCTCCTGCTGGCCGAAGGGAGACAAACTGGATGAACTCGAAGCTCGTAAGTACAATGTAGATGGGCAGGGATGACATATGCTTCTACATCATGTTAACAGCTGTAGCAGTAATAAATTATCTCTTTGTTACTATTTTTAGTATTAGTATCGTACTAACGTTACACGTGTATTAAATTATACTCTTTCACAGTCATCACATTTTCTAATTTCAGAAATTCTTGGAGCAGAAGGAACACCCTACCATGGCGGTGTGTTCAAGTTGGAAATACAAGTCTCAGAAAGGTAAATGTTCACAACCTTATGATTTATGCTGCAGAGAAAAATTCACGGCTGTGTTTGCAATTTGCCATTTTATGTCAGTGCTAGTTCAAGTAGTTGTAGTGTCACAGCTGCCTGTGCATGTGGTACACAGTCTTTATCTTTCATTTCAGGTACCCATTTCAGCCCCCTAAAGTGAGGTTTGTCACCCCCATCTACCACCCTAACGTCGACGATGGGGGAAGGATCTGCCTGGACATTCTCAAGATGCCTCCTAAGGTAGCAGTCTTCAGGTTCTTAAACTTAAAGATTTGTGAAAGAAAAATTACACATCTCTGATCTCATGTATTATGGAGATCCCAATAAAAAAAACGACAAAAATCAGGGTGTCTCTGTCTCAATGTAGAATTGTCAGTTGTACCGCAAGGAATGGTCCTAGAGCCACTAATTTTTCCTAACTCACTCCAGTTCTGTTTTTGGCAACACCACTGGAACAGAGCCATTTTCTGTGTATGTACTGGGATATGTTTACCTGACATGTTATATTTTGATACCATGTCCAGGGTGGCTGGAAGCCGTCTCTGAATGTGTCGACCGTCCTGACGTCCATCCAACTGCTGATGGCAGAACCCAACCCTGACGACCCACTCATGACTGACATTGTGGGTATTTAATTGGAACCTGTATATGGTGTCTAGTTCTGCTTCAATCTTGCAATTTACAGGAGGCTTGATTTTGTAGATGAGATGTGTTGGATTCAATGCCAAATACATGTTTCATGGCTCAAGTTCAAGTGTACTTGTCCTTAATTCCTGACCAACAACTTATCAAGCATGTAATTTAATTGTAAATTGGTTACACATTCATTGATAACAGGTCTTCATATTTTGCACAATTCCTTTCCTTTCAGTCCAATGAGTTTAAGTTCAACAGACCCTTGTACCTGGAGAATGCCAAGCGCTGGACAGAGAAGCATGCTATGGACAACACTACAGGAACTAGTGGGGTAAGTTTTTACTTCTGTTCTGATTTTTGCAAATGTTTAAAGGCCTGAGGAATTCAGGAAGCTGAAGTGGTGGACTACATGTATGTGTAAGACGTTATACCATTCCCTCCTCATGTATAATGCATTCACAAAAACCCAAATCACTTCTTGGAGGTTCAAGTTTGGTTTGCTTCCCAGCAGCTACTACTTCTGTCAACACTGTATCATTACAGTTAAAGCAAATACAAAGGTAGAATGATACAGGATCCCAGGATTGGTTTTGTGGTAACACACATTTTTCTCTCTCTGTAGCCGTCTACATCTAGTACCTCAGGGAAGGAGAACCATCCCCAGAGCAGCGAGAAGACGGAAGCTTCAGGTGAGGACAGTGATGGTGAGGAGATGAGGAGAGCTCCTGTATCTGGTGCTGTGAATAGACTCAAGAAAAGACCTGCCTTACAGACCAAGTCTGGGGTAAAGAAACAGTGCTCGTGAAGTAAGGAGGGTTACTGTACCTCACCTATACTAGTCCTTGTAAAGTACAAAATGTAGGTCTGTGATGGCCGGGCATTAAGAGTAAATGACAAAGGCAGTTTTTATCTTTTAATCTTTTTATCAGTCTCTCATACATATGCTTGAGTTCAGAAGAATCAGAATGTATATGTTAACATAAATACCATAATGCACAGATCATCAACAGTAAGTTATAAAAAGAAGAAATTGAACTAAAGCAATACACTTGATTTCCTTCTGCCATGTCTGCTAAACATTATGATTTACAAAACATGTACTACATGTTGATTTTTTCTCAACTATCTAAACAGACATTGAAACAAATACCAGACCCTTAGATCGAGATCATTTAGTCTTTATTCATGTTAGCAACATTATGTTATTTTCCTTAGAGAAGCAGATACCTGACATTTAAGAAGCAGCTTTTAAGAAAATTATGAAAGTAACAGTTTTCTAGAAGTAGTTGTTTTTAAAGTTAAGTTAATAAATAAATGCTGTCATTTTGCAATAGTCTGCCAAGATCCTTTTTTGTGCGTCAATATTCTAAGCTACACCTAAACCATACTGCTGGAACATGTTGGGTTACTCAACAACCAGTCAAAATCAATTCATTCATCCCTCCCAGTTCTGATAATGGATCATCCCAAGTGATATCAAAGTCATATGGCAATCATGGCTTCAACAATTTTAGACACCAGTTTAGCTCAACACTTCAGCCACTGGTAGTGCATGTACATGTACCATATGTAGAATTGCCAGGTGTCCCACAAGGAATGGTCCTTGGACCACCACACAAGTCCCCAGTGTTGTCCATCCTAATTCACTTGCCTTTCCCTCCTTTTCTCTTCCTTTTGCCTTTTGATTTCTTGGCAGCAGGCTGTTGTTGTTGCTGCTGTTTTGGTTCCTGTTTAGGTTTAGTCTCCTCTGCAGGCTTCTTAGGCTTTGTATTCTCAACCATCTTGGTTGGTTTGGAGGTCTCGACTAGCTCTATCCAGGCGTCCAGGGCTTCCAGGCTCTTCTTGGCTTTAGACTCAGCTTCAAGGTCACGCAGGTCACCATCATTCCAGGGGTATAGATGCTGTAGGGCTTGCTAGGGGTGTAAAGGTTACAATGTACAGGTACTTGATTATTTCATTTGTGTGAAAAATTACAAAGGACATTGACATTGAAATGACAAAAGTGAGTTTGAGGAGTACATGGCACAGATTGTTGAAAATTGAATATGACAGTCAAACAATGGCATCATCTGACATTATTTTTAGTGGGTTTGGCCCAATATGCTCCAATGTTTTGCCCTTTGAAAAGGCCCTTTACACGACTTTCCTTAAATCACTCAGGTGAGAATTTTTCCTTCGGAAAGTAACCCTAGTTTCGGTTAGGGACGTCCCTTGGTTGTAGGGTACTGTGTTTTGAGTAGAGCCACACATGTACTTCTATTTGGTCAGTGGTCTTTGGTTGGTGCTGGCCAATGAGTAAAATAAGGGTTTGTCTCTGCTACTCACATGCAGTATGTGTTTGGCCTCTGTCAGTGCCACCACCATCTCCTGGTTGGAGATCACGCCCAGGTCGTGCCGCCGCCTGGCAACTTCCACCAGCGCTGCATGCAGCTCGTACAGGAAGTGGGCCGTGTCGTCATTGAACCTCGGAGACACGATCTCCAGCGCGTCTGAAAAATGACAGTGTCTTCAGCATATCTTCCAGCATGTCTATATTTCTTCTAATGATCCCCCCCCCCACTAAAGAAATTCACCTTTGACTTTCAAAAATCATGTGACAGCAATCTCTAACCTCATTTAAATCTTTAGCACAGCTTATGTACTAGATAATATTCTAGATCACTTATCAGCTTTTGAGGGGAACTGCAGGTGTCTTTTTTTAAAACTTTGGTGTAAGAGGATAACTCACGAATGGATAATGAGTTTTTCATGCAGTTTTACAAGCTTGTAGATAGGTGATGATTGACAAAATTAGATGTTACTTATGCAAATCAGAAATATAGGAATGTGATCAGGATATCAAATGTTCAAATGATTTGAAGAAACGGAGTAGGTTGTTACCGATGAGTGTTCTACACATCTCCATCTTCCTGTTCAGCCGGTCCTCGGACAGCTCTGCCAGACTGTAGCCCGGCTGCCTGCCGTACGCATGCGCCAGGAACTTCTTACATCTCAGCATGGCGTAGTGGTTCGGGTGCAGGATGGATTCATGTCTCTCCACAAGGTCTGAGAGAGACAGAAAAGTCGAAATCCTCTTAAAGACCATGTAAAAGTTGCTGTACACGTTATAGAAATGTTTAACTTGATAAAATCACCCTGACCTATGTACGTAGACCAGGGCCATTACCGACTTCTGATCCTTCCACCTTTGGCCCGTTGCTCATGTCACTTCAACATAGACGGGGGTCGATACCGACTTCCAACCACCTATGACCCCTTGCTCACGTATACCTTAGCTGGTGACACATCCTGAGCTATTGCATCCTTAGCTTTTCAGAAGAGGGCCAGTTAAAGACTGTTAAAAATCGGTGTCTTATTTCTTGTGACTCTATTATATTTTACACAATATTTGATTCTTACAGCTTTTAATACACATAGTTACCAAGGCCGCTTAAAAGATTCAGTGGTTGAGATTGGTTGAAACATACCTTCGTATTCTTCAATGGGAGTCTCCAGTTCTTTGGACTCCAGTTCGAAGACTTCCTCCTCCACCTGGTGATTGGTCCCCTTCAAGACTTCCCCCCGAATAATGACGCGGCAGCTCTCACACCGGAACCCGGTCGAGTTGAATTCCAGCGGCTTGGTCGCCACCACGTTCCCCCCGCAGTTTGAACATCTGCAAGAACCAAAAATGCTATATGACACTGTATATGTCTCAAATAGAAAACAATTATCTTCACAGAAGGACAGCATGTTGTTTTTGCTTTTTTTCTTCTTCTCCAAACAAAAAGGTCAATAACCTGAACCATGCCAAACATCTGTCACCATGGTAACTGGTGATGTAGCAGACACCCTGTGGTGTTTGGTGACATTACTACATGTATTATGTAGCAAGTGTCTTTTTAACGAGAGTGGAACAGTGTTTCTGAGGAAGGCCAGGAGATTGAGAATACGGTAAAGGTGTATATGCATGCATATGGTCTGGATTCTTCAAACTATACATATCATATTACAATGTATGAAATATAAGAATCCTACCTGTGTGAGCTGATGAAGGATCCCAGCTCGGTGGGGTCCCGACACCTCTGACAGCTGCACCAGAAGTACTTGTACCTGTGGAGCTGGTGTCTCCGGATCTCCGTCCCCCACAGACACTCCGAGTACTCCGCCGTCAGCGCCTCGCCTTTCTTCACTGGCATCTGGAACAGCAGGAATATGGAAGTGCAAAATGCGTTGAAAACCTGCCTAACAATACAAATGAATTATTAGATTAGTATCCAGTCGTACGGCCTTCTTCGGGAATAATGACCATACAGATCGACAAGTTGCGCCAAAAATGTGTCGAAAGATGTCCAAATCGAAGGTCTAGAGCGGCCTCCGTCTCGGTACAGACTTTCAGACACCTTTGGCCTACTTTTCACGTCACGTTTCTGTAAGGTTACGTGTCTGAGTGGGTCATTACTCTTGATGAAGGTGGCTGAAAGTCTGTCACGACCCCCATCTCGGTCCAGACCCGCCTCTGACGCCACGTGTCTATAAGGCCACGTGACTGATTAGATGCGTGGGTCATTAATCCTGACAAAGCACTTACTCTCGTTCTGACGTGCATCTTGTTCTTGGAGTCGATGGAGGTGAGGGTGTTGGCCAGGCAGTCGTGGTTCATGAGGTACGTGGTGGGGTAGACGGCCCAGGCGCGCGGCGTGGAGTCCCGGTCCTTGTTCGGGCCCGTCGTGAACAACTCGAACGCATTTACTGCAACGGAAACGCATCAGAAGGCAATGCAGACTTTGCAGAGGAAACTATTATGTTACAAACTTCAACGGGTATGTACAGGGGACTTTGCATTCAAAAATTGACCAAATTTAATTATAGGCAATTTGACTATCAGAATTTCTGACTATAAAAGTTCACTCATGGATTTGATGTAATAAATCTAAATAGATATGAATAAATGTAATAGATTAATAAAACGTATGCTGTAGGTAAGTGCTAGTGTCAAAACGTCCATGAGAAAATAAAAGCCACGAAAAAAAGGAGTTGGGTCCCGCTCTGTTGGCCGGGCTGAGACGCAGTGCCTATTCACGGGCGCGATCCCGCTACTGATCGACACGGGGACTTTTGCCTGCTTTGTTTCCAACCTGGGCCGGTGCGTCCCTCCTCAGACGACCTGGTTGCCCTGGGCTTCCCCGGGGAAACCATATCGATGCCGAACTTAGCGTGGACGCCCGATCGCCATAGGACAGCACGCCGCAGAACCCCCGGCCTCAAGCGGTCCGCCAACCCCAGCCTCCAGGTAGCTGGATTACAGGCGCGCGCCACCACGCCCAGCTGAACGTCGGGCTGCGAAATGGTGTCCTTAAACCTGTACGTCACGTGATCATGCTGCAGTTCTCACGAATGCCGCTAGGAGATGTTCTTGAGATGTTGCTGTGCTTTTTTTCCGCTTCACACACCCGCAAATTTGAATTAATATGTTCATAGCAGCAAATATATGTTAATATCACCACGCATTTGGCGTAGGGTTCTGAATTTGTTTATCACCTGATCAGGGTGTACTTCTTACAATCGTAGCTAGGAGGCGTTATAGTGCGCAGTTTATTGATCGGTGCTGGTATTAAGTTGCAGAGGATAGATCTTACCCGTAAGGATCCCGCAGATCTTCATGATGTCGTGATCTGAGAACTCGTCCATGCCTAACGTCTGCCGGATCACACGCACTACGTTCCGTCCCATCTCCATTCTAGGAGACGTATTAAAAAATGAAGATGTAAAAATCCTTGTTCACACACACACATACACACAAATTAGCTCATCGAATATTCGATTGTCCTATTGCTATTTTTTCCAGAGGGCAGAATCGAAGTGGCCAATCGCCTAGATCACGTGAACTAATGGCATCAATTGGTCGTCTGTCTATGTGGTAGGACGCCTAGACCGACCGCCGTCTCTGGTTGAATTGTGCCAGCCAAATGGCTGATATACTGTCTTTCAGCAATAAAAAGTTCTGTTTGGAGATATCCTCTTACGAGTTAGTCCTGCCAGAATTCAGTGTCTAGTGCTTTCAAGTTGACTTTGTCCAAACATAGATCTGTCCTCCCCACTACCGCCCACCTGTATTCCCGGGTTTGGTCCTCCACGTGAGACTCCATCCCGCTGAGGAGCTTCCACCTGCCGGGGTCCCGTGACTTGAGCAGGAGGCAGCGCAGAGGTGTGATGAACTGGTAGGACGTGTTGGGACCGGAGAAGTCCGTGATGTCGATACCGGCCGACTTCAACATGCCGCACTGCAGAAAGGTATTATAATGTTTACCATCGCAGTAGGAAAACATATCGTTTCTTTTTCCATTTTTAAACAAATAAGGTGAATGACCAGAATCAGACATCTGTTACCATGGTAACTGGTGTTGTATTAGACACCAGTTACCATGGTGTTGGGTACATTATGTAGCAAGTGGCAAAGTTGGAGGGGCTGGTCACCATAATATGTATGTGTTTAAGTAAGAATTAGCAGTAGTTTGTAAGGCTACACCGCGTGAAAGTAAACATTATGCTGCGTTGCTATATCCTTAAGTTAACCAAACGACGTTAACAAATAATGCAAGACTATATATGCATACCTCGAGTTGATGGCTGCCAGCCGTTTCGCACTTCCTGCTGCAGAGCGGCCAGTTGCAGCCCTTACACCTGTAGGTCCCGTCCACGGCGTCAAAACAGCCCAGGCACAGCGCCGAGGTGGTGTAGGACGGGCCCGTCAGGATCGGGTCCTCTGAGATCACCAGGTGGCCCATCGGCAGGTCTCCGTTCGCTACCAGGTACCTGCCTGTGGAGTACAGGATCGGGTTGTATTATGCAGCTCACGTGTCTCTTCGTAACAGAGGAAAGCCCTGCGACGGAAATCACGTGACAACTGCGTGGCGACGCTTGTTTATGACGTCATAAACATAATTTTTTCATGTCAGTTCACAGTGAACTATGTGCGGGCGTGTAAAGTTGTTCTCCTGTTTGATCTGACAGTTTTCTTCACAGTTTTTTTACTTGACATTCGTATTATTACGGTGTGAAGGTCAGGAGGCAAGAAGCAGATAAGGTACATGCATTAAGATACCAATATTAATCAGCGTTACTTAATTGTTCTTATCTAATGATAATTATTCTTATATGTTGTTAAATATCATTAGTTTTATTTGATCAGTTCATCATAATAATGTGCCATACAATTTAATGATGTCGGGGGAGGATGCCGGAAGACCATAATGGCTTTTTATCTTCCCCCGCATATCTTCTTTTGTTATGTTATGTTTATTCTATTACTTTGGTTATATGCTAATAAACAAACAAATAAACACACAGATGCCGGCCAAGTCCGCAGCTGTCAAGATGTCTAAGAATCGCGAGAGCTGGAAGTCTCGCCAGCGGAGGAAGTCTCTTGAGAAGAAGGCGGAGAAGGCGGCCGAGAAGGCGGCTCGTGCCGGGCACCAGGCGGCAGAGGCAGCGCTCATGCACGCCGTGTCCTGCATGCTGACCGCCTGGCCGAATGCACGTATCGGTACCAGGGTGTCCGCGGCCATGTACCCGCACACACCCGTCAAGGTCTCACATGCCCTGATCACACCTGGTACTGATACTACATACTCGGATACTCCTCGGCGAGTAGAGCTGTTTTGATATCCTCTTTTGTACTTGAGATGATATACCTAATGTATACTGTGTACATATTTCCATTGCGGCCATGTATACGCATACACCCTGATCTCACCTGATACATGATGGTATCTCACTTAATCTACATAACGTTAGAATAAAGAAGTGTTATTGTGGTTAACATATCATTATCGTCCATTGTTTCATTATAGTTTGAGGGAGAGAGAGAGAGAGTGAGAGAGTGAGAGAAATAGATAGAGAGAAAGCGGGGGAGGATCGAAGAGGAAGACGCGTTCAGCACCATGGACAGGCCTATTCAGTTCGAAACAACAGTCTAGATTTGGCCCTAGCTTTTCTCGCACCATGTCTAGCAGGCCACAGTCGTCCTTTAGTATAAGCCATCGGGAGTTGCGTAGTTCCTGTTTTCAACTTTGATTTTAGGTCACAATAGGTCACGTGACACAGCTTTTTCGTAACAGGGGAAGGTGTTGTCCGGAAACCACGTGACATCAGCGTGCGGAAGATGCCAGGTTTATGACGTCACAACCGGACTTTTCATTTCAGTTCAGAGTGAACCAGGTGCATACGCATTTTGTTCTTCGGATGGATTTTACAGTTTTTTTTCTCGTAATTCGACTTACTATCGAAGTAAAAATGATGGTCTTGGTGCTAGTGTCGAGAGGCTAGGGGTGCTCCAAAGAGTGATCGTCCTACTAAGAACAGGTGAGTAGAATTTAACACCATCTCACGAACCGAAGGCCGTTCCACAACCCAAAACGTTATAAGAACGCCAGGGTTTTTGAAACTTTAACCAAAACGTTTCGTACTGGATTACTCCCGAGGAAACAATTTGATTAATGCACACAAGTTACAGAACAATACCGGTTTCTAATTGTGTTTTAACATGTAAAGAGCTAGAGTAAGAGTATATTACTACTGCGACGTTTTATTCATCAGTTTCTAACAAAGAGCGGATACACCAGTACTGTTTACCAACAACGCACGAACTTTTGTTCTAGAACGTGTCTTTTATATATATCTTGAAACACTTGCGGTAATGTCGATTTAGCATGTAAGAAAACGTCTAAATAAGTAAATTGTTGTAGCTTTATGGTACTTTATACCCATTATTTTGTGATGTCTTGAAGATTTCCATATGTTGTCATTAGATCTAGATTTCTTGTATTTTTTCAGTAACCGAACCAGGTGTTCGGTTTGAGGAAACTTCAAACGAGAAAGAGGAGAGTAGAGGTCCCCATTGCGTATATGATAAATCCAACAAGCCGGAGGAGACTGCAACAAGCTTAAGAAAGAAAGGTCTCCGGCCCGTCAGCCCCATGAGTACCGCCAGAGAGACCTTTCTCTTCTGTTGCAGTCTCCCCCGATGTCCGATGACAGTCTGACGGCCGGAGGAGGCTGCAACAGGAGAGAAAGGCCTCTCTGGCGGTACTCATGGGTCGAACAGGCCGGAGGACACTACATTAGTAAAGAGACGTCTTTATGGTGTCTCGTCCGAACAGGGAGCCAGGCCGAAAGCCAGCTGCAGTGAGGCCCAGAAGATTGGGAAGGCTCGAAGGACGCGGGGTACGAGGAAGATGCCGGTCAAGACTCGCGAGAAGACGAAGACTCGCGAGAGCATAAAAGATCGGCTGAGGAGAAAGTGCCGCGAGGAAGCGACTGGGAAGGCTCGAGAGGAGCAGTAGGCAGCAGCAAAATTTGATAATTCAAGTAACTGACTTACAATAAAGTTATTGTGTTTATTACATCGTCGTCCATTTTCATGACGGTATAAAACTTGAGTTTTGAGAGACGGAGAGAGAGACAGAGAGAGAAGGGGAAGTGAGGGAAGAGGAAGACACATTCAGCACCAGGGACAGACCTGTATTTCAAAATATAAGCCTAAAATGACTGAATGACAACAAATGAATGAATGCGTTGGTGAAGGTTAGACATCCAGGTAGTAAGATACGCCAAAAAGCAGTTACTCAAGCAACTGGATATGATATTGGAAACGGTCAGACGTTTCAGGTAGTATCCATGAATGAATGAATGAATGTTTTTTCATTACATGAATGTATACATAAACTTACTAGTAAGTCCCATGTGTTACCTTTGTCGTCTGTTGTCTCTATCCTGTACGGTTTGCAGTCCAGTCTGTGAGCCTTCCAGTGTTCCTTCTGGTGGTCACGTGAGCAGTAATATACCGACAAACATCTGCAATAGAATACGGTGACTATGAGTATGACGTCATTCAGCGTCCGCCATATTGGTCGGTTAAAGCGATGTCCATACACATTTGTGTATAGGTCTGTGCATATAAATAATTCCTTTTATACAACCGTTGCCATGCCTGTTCGTCATAATAGCATCCGTCGCCATCTTGGATCTACGTGCTCCCGCTACCAACATGGCAAACTATACCAAATGTTTCACACACAGTTAAATCATTTTTTTAACATCTATCGTTTTGGTAGAGTTCAAGGCCGTTGTGATTGTAGTGTATATTGTGTATTAAATGACGTATTGTACCTGCCACACCGTTGCTCTGCTGCAGCGCCACACTGCGCGCACAGCTTGTCCTGCAGCGGCAGATCGGGGCTGTCGTCTGTAGACATTTAGACTTCTGTCGAGACGTGTGGAAAAATAAGCATATTAATACTAGAAGAAGCGAGCTATAATCTCTAGCAACAGACGGTTGTTTTAACTCAGCTCCTGAGCTTTCTGGTGAAATTAACGTTTTTATGGATCCAACTCCCTCTTTGATAGGAAAGACGAAAATAATTACTATCGACATCTACTGAGATGTTATCCCCCTCCCACTTTCAACCCCCCTCCCCCTCCATGCGTGGGTGTTCCGTTCCATCACAGCGTCGAAAACACGAGAGTGCGATGCCAAATCCACATTCAGCTGTCGTACCGATCACACTGTATCTTTTTCGGTAGCCACTCAATTAGCTTAAGAAACGTAATGTTATTCATTTGCAGGTGCGGTGAAGAAGCCTCGTTCAAGTCCAAAATGACAGTGACGTACTACAAGATACTGATCACGCGAACTTCAACATACGGTTCCTGAATCATGGATCAAATAAGAATCGGAGAAAGCCGTTCTTAAATAGAAAGCATTTGCCTTCCCATTTCTTGCGTACAAAAGCAACAACAACATCCACAAAACAACAAGACTACAACGTTTATAACTATAACTACAGTACTCACGTTATAACTGTCCTATAATGTCGGAAGTCAAGCTAACGTAGCCACTGACACAGACGACACGCATCCCCGGGCTCTCAATTCTATATTTATCTCCAGATTCCGACGCGCGCCTGTTATAATGTACCCAGCGGTGGCTTCGTGCCTTATATATAGCTGGGCGGATTGACAAGTTGCGCAACTGGCGAGGGGTGCCGCGGTGGACGTGGGTATCGGCTTGCGCTAAAGGCCGTTCACTCGAGCCCTTGGTATGTTAGGCCACACTGACTCGGTTATATGGATGGCATCAACATTTACCC